GTGTGTGTGTGTGTGTGTGTGTGTGTGTGTGTGTTTTGGTTTTTCGAGATAGGGTTTCTCTGTGTAGCTCTGGAGCCTATCCTGGAACTCACTCTGGAGACCGGGCTGGCCTCGAACTCACAGAGATCCACCTGGCTCTGCCTCCCGAGTGCTGGGATTAAAGGCGTGTGCCACCAACACCCGGCTCATCCTCATGTTTTAAATGACATTTTGTTAACTGCAATCTCAACTTATTTTCCTCTGAAAGATCCCTGCAAGAGCTGGCGAGATTGCTCGGGGGTTAAGAGTACCTGCCACCAAGCAAAGGACCTGAGTTTGGTTCCCAGCTCACAACTGTCTGTAACTCCAGCTCCAGGGGATCGATCCCAACACTCTCCTCTGCCCTCCACAGACACCCAAGCATATGTACACACACATAAATAAAAATAAAATAAATTCTAGAAAAGATTCATGCTAACTAATGAATGATGCATTGTTGATGTCTCAGGCCAAAACTGACTAAAGATGGAAGGAAGACCAGCTGCACGAGCTGTAAGGTGAGCAGAGATGGAAGGAAGACCAGCTGCATGCGCTGTAAGGTGAGCAGAGTTGGTCGGCTGCCTCCCTCACAGCACAAAAAAAAACAGGAAACCAGTGCCAAAGAGGCTTTTGGATTGCTGTTATTATTGTTTGTTTTTTGAGAAAATGTTCTCTGTGTAGTAGCTGTCCTGGAACTCGATCTGTACACCATGTTGGCCTCATACTCAGAGATCCGCCTGCCTCTGCCTTCTGAGTAATGGGATTAAGGCGTGTGCCACCACGCCCAGCTGCCAAAGAGTTTTATTAGTGAAAAACAATGACAAAAGACTCCAAACGACCACCTTTTGTAGTTTATTAAAAAAAAAAAGCACACAGTGATAATTATACAGTTCCTCCTCTGCAACCGCCATTCCCTACGTGACCATCTTTTCTAGAAATGGATCATCAGCCACACTTTAAAACCTTTCTGATAAATATATTGCTGCACTGCATCCAGCCTGGATAACCCTCTTCAACAACGTATATGCTGGAGCCTGTGGAGAACAAAAGGCTGGGATGTAGCTGGGTGGGAGAGTGCTTGTCTAGCACGCATAGCATCCTGAGTTTGGTCTGCAGTACTTAGGGGTGGGAGTGGGATAAGAAACAGGACAAGAGGCTTGCTCAGTAGAAGAGGGCTTGCCTAGCAAGGCCCTGGGTTAAACAACCAGCAACCAAACCACATGTGGTGTATCTATGTTAGATGTCAGACTTAAGACTCGCTGGTAGGGCAGGGTTTGGGCTCCTCTGGATAAGAATCAGGATCTGGGAAATCATTTAATTTGAAACAAAAGCCACTCAGACTGCTAGAAGCCTCTCTGGCCACTGAACCCCTAGGCTGTTTCTTGGGATAATGATAGAGTAGGACACAGGAGCCTCACCCTAGGACCAAAGCTGAGCTTGAGTGCTTTCTGTCAAGTAGCTGGCTCCCTGCCTTTTGACCTTTACTTCCAAAATGTCTTTCTGGGAACAGAAACTTTTGGCCCCTCCACCTTTAAAACACTCCCCAAGCATCACCAGCAACAGTCTGTCCCTACCAACTCTGCATCATGGTCCAGGCCAGTGTCATGGTGCTCAAGCTCCTCGTCTCGAAACTTCTTGATAACCTGAGAAGGAAAAGGAATGGAAGTCAGTCAGCACTCTAGGTCACCTGCTGCTCATCCTAGTCTACAGGTGAGGTCCACGTGCTTTTCCTATGAAAGACAAGCGTTCACTCTGCCATTCCAGTGGGGAGAGCCGCCTAGCAAGAGTAAATCATGGGGGTGACTCCAACAAGACTTATTATGAAACAAGCTTGGCCAGCAGGCTGGTTGGTGATTGCCAACTGCTGGTTTAGGTTTTAAAAATTTAGAGTTGTGGCCTATCTTAGTCACTGTTCCACTGCTGTGAAGAGACACCATGACCAAAGAAACTCTTATAAAAGAAAGCATTTAATTGGAGGCTGGCTTACAGTTTCAGAGGTTCGTCCATTATCAACATGGCAGGAAGCATGGCAACACTTAGGGTACTAAAGGAGTAACTGAGAACTACATCCTGATCTACAGGCTGAGAGAGAGACTCTGGGCCTGGCTTGGGCTTTTGAAATCTTAAAGCCGACCACCAGCAAAACACTTCCTCCAGCAAGGCTACACCTCCTAATACTCCTAATCCTACTCAAATAATACTACTCCCTGATGAGTAAGCATTCAAATATATGAGCCTGTGGGGGTCATTCTCATTCAAACCAACACATGGCCAAATACAGTGATGCACACTTAACAACTCCAGCACTTGGAAGGCAGGGGCAGGAGGACCAAGAATCAAGACCAGCCTGGGCTATAGATGGAGACTTTGACTCAAAAGCAAAGCAAACAAACAAACTACTAGGGGGTGGAGGGATGGTGCTGAGGCAGGGGGATCCCTTGTACCCACTGATTCAAGACCAGCCTGGGCTAATTTTCCTGTAGAAAATTATCTGAGGCATTCCAGCACTTCATACACTCAGCCTAAAGAATTAATCATTTTTAAACGTTATTTTTTAAATTATAATTTAATTACAACATCTCTCCCTTCCCTTTACTCCCTCCAAGCCTTCCCATATGCCCCTCCCCAATGTTCTCCTTCAAATTTATGGCCTCTTCTTTCACTAATTGTTATTGCACGTATATATGTGTTTGTATATACATAGTTAAAATATAACCTGCTGGGTCTATATAATGCTACCTGTATGTATGTTTCCAGGCCTGACCTTTTGGCACCAGACAACCAATGTGTGTGCTCTTCCCTGGAGAAGGCCACCTTTCCTGTCTCAGCTTCCCTCCATTGCCTATGGTTCCCTGTAAGCTGAGGCCTCGTGGACTTTTCTCTGTCCAGTTTAACATGTTATCTGGTATCTTCTGTGTACAGCCCATGTGTTGAGTCATGGATGTGCAGAGGACACACATACATGGACTCAGAAGACATCAGGTCTGGGCTTCACTGTGCTGGAGCCCTATGACCTCTCTGTCTCATCTAGAAGAGGACTTACTCCCCCACTCACCCCCCAGTCTTGCCTCCTTAGCATCTTTACCTCTTTCTCCTCACTACCTGTCACCTGTCCTATTCTCCCCTCAAGCACGGCACAGTCAGTCACCTGCAGTAGCTCCTCATACTTCTCAGGATCCTCCTCCATCAGTGTGCGGATCTGGTTGTTGTAGTGATGAGCAATGGACTCTTCTACTGCCACGGTGCAGGCCATTGCTCCTTCCTTTCCCAGCAAGGCAGTTCCTGCCCCTGCAATCATCAAACAAGGTCAAGCATGAGCCACATGCTGATGGTCAAGGACATCTGTGAGGCAACCTGACATCTGGGCTGGCGTGCGTGTCTGTGTGTGTGTGTGTGTGTGTGTGTGTGTGTGTGTGTGTGTGTGTGTAGTATGTATCATAATTCTTTATTAATTCCTTGGTAATTTCACATCAAGCACCCCAATCTCACTTAGCTCCCAGTCCCTCCATATCCACCCCTCACCCCTTGCAGCATCACCTCACAAAAGAACTCCCCCAAATTAATTGAAAACAAAACAAAAAACTCAAGAACCACATTAGTCCTCTGTCTTTTCCGCCTCTCCAACACCTTTTCTTTTTTCTTTTTTCTTTTTCTTTTGATGCAAACAGCATGAGACTTTATTATAGTTGTTTAACGAGCTAACCCCATGTTAGCTCGGGTCTTTCATCCATCCACCATGGCAGATACCTAGGAAAGACAGCTCGAAGCATCTGCATAGAGATCTTATAGGGCAGCGTAAGGGGAGTGTCTAGGGGTATGCACAGGCTCAGGATTGGTGTGCCTCCAGGCTTGGAGGGGTTGCCCTGTGGTCACTGGTCAACTCGTTGTTATGGCCCATAGGCCCTACCAGGGTGGTTGCTATGCTCTATGAGTCATTGCTGTGTGCTTGTCTTTGCTGTGTGCTTGTCGGTAAAGCATCCCCAGAGCCGTAAAGCATAGCACCACCAGCTAACTTCTGATTGGTTCCTTGCCACAAGGCAGGAGCCTAACCTCCTAGTGACCAAGGCAAGGCCAGACAAGCACGTCTTCAACACCTTTTCATTTGTCCTAATGTCACTGGGAGCTGCAGTGTGTCACGCAGTATACACTTTTGTCCAATCAGCCCCACCCACAAAAGTTCAATGCAATGAGTTACTGGTCTGGTTCAAAGGCCTCCGGCCTATAGCACACAATCATCATTAGAACCTCACCAAAATTACAAAATATCCTGTTATTTGTCCTGAGTCATGGAGATCCTACCTATGGTTATTGTTCCACAGAACCAGTCCCTTCACACACTCCAGCAGGCCATAGACGGGGAAGATGTTAGGGTGGACCAACCCAAGCCCCAGGATGTAGGCCTGGGTAGTAGCTGAGCTGGTCAGTCTGTACCTGGGGACTGTCTCCTCTCTCAGTCAAGGGGTGGAGCAAGCTCTCACACACCTGTGGTGAGGGGTGAGGCCATCTCTCCTTAGTATGGAAAGTGTGTTTTGGGGGGGCTCCCATGAGGGTCAGGACCAGCTCTCCTGATGCAGTGTCCAGAGAGGGGCAGGGTGAGCTATCCCCAGGCCAGCAAAGGGCAAGACTGGCTCAGCAAGGCCCTCGGATTTCAACACACATGGTTTCTATGGCCCCACATCTGGGGATGTTTAATATGTTTAATATTGGATGTCACCCAATATCTACCCTCTAGATGTCAGTGGTAACTGCTAAGCATAACTATTGAACATTTAGATACTCCCATGAATGCTCTGCAACAGTCACTCCATATTGAGAAGCAGTTTGAGCTCGTTATTAGATGCCAGTCACAAAGTTCTTTTTGAAAGTATTTTTCTGTTTTATTTGGTTGGTTTGATTTTTTGAGACAAGGCCTCACTATGAAACCCAAGTTAACCTGGAACTTACTGTGTATCCAGGGCTGGCTCGTAACCTCCACCCCCTACCTTTGCCACCTGCGTGCTGAGGTTACAGGTATGCACCACCAGGCAGGCTCAATGAGCCTTGGCCCTTCTGCTAGGAGCTGAGAGTGCTAAACTAGGTTCTTTGTTCTTCCTTTTTTTTTTTTTTTCCTTTGGGGTCGGGGCTCAGTCTGTGTAGCCCAAGCTGTCCTGGAACGTGCTTGCCCTGTAGACCAGGCTGGCCTTGAACACAAGAGATCTGCCTGTCTCTGCCTCCTGAGTGCTGGGATTAAAGGGGTAAGTGACCATGCCCAGCACTCAAGCTGTTCTCAGGTTAACATCACCAGGAGACATCATCTGGCTATGACTATATTATCTAGCTTCCCTCTGTGTGTATCATACTCTCTATTTATGAAAGTGATGAATCTATCTTAGTCATATAAGCAAAAACAGTTCAATCAGCTTCAATTTAAGTTTAGGAAAACACTAAGTAAATAAAAAAGGTTGGATGAGGGCATGATAAGAGTTACAGAGGCATGAATAATCAACCCATCACCAACAGCCAAGTGGCTCCTGGACAGACACTTACCCAGTGCAAAGCCTGCCACATTCCACAAGGGCATCAGAATTGTAGGTCGAACCCTGAACGCAACCATCAGCTCGTTGAACTTTTTCAAATGGTCCTTCTCTTGATCCCACATTTTCTGGAAAAAGAAAATCAAAAAAACTAAAAAACAAAACAGAAACCCAAAACAAAAAGAGGCAAGCATTACAGGGGCCTCTTGATATACCCTGAGGACTTGCTACGTACGGCTGAGCACACAGGAGGCAATAAGGAAATGGTGTAATGATGGGAACTCGAGTCACCCATCCCTTATGTATCCATAAGACAAAGGCAAAGCACAGAAAAATCTCTCAAAAAAGAAAAGAGCCTGCAAGGCAAAGGAAGAACTGAAGCTAGATCTCAGACATAGCTAAGAGTTCCACTGCCACACCTCCAGACCCACACACACGTCAGTGACCAAGCTTCACATTTGTGTACAAGATGTTGACCCAGTTCAGAATTGGGAGGGCAAAAAGTCAGATGTGATGTAATTTCCTTCTAGACTTGACACAAAGGATGGGGACAGAAGGACAAGAGCAGCTAAGGTAGGACAGTCAGTGATAGTGTAAGACAGACAGTTGATGGTGAGATGCCATCAACATGGCTTTGGAGGCTACTCCTGCCATCCACACTATGCCTTATTAAGGCAGATGGATTATCCCTGAGGCTCATAGCACAGCCAGCTTGCAGTGAGTCCTCTGGAACCCAGGCAGGTTCTGAGCCATCAGTTCAAGCAACCACAGATGAAAACAGTGGAAAAGAACTGTGTCCTAAGAACACACAGACTGTTCTCACTATGAAATAGAACCCCAAATGTGTGGTATTCTCTTGGCATGGGGGACTCTCAGTAGCCTTGTCATGCTTCAAGGCAGAGGTGCAGGGGCTATCTGCAGATGTACACCATCTTATGCCTGGAATGAGCTCTGGGGACAGGGATGTCTGTGGGGAATCTGATGGGACAACATGCTAAGCTACCTCATGGTAGGCAGGGTGGCAATAGTTCCATATGAGCTTGTTTATTCCCCAACCAAACCCAATGAGTTAGAGGTCTTACCAGGCTAATTTGCACATAGGAAAATGGAAACCTAAAGGTCATGTGACCTCTTCAAGGAGGCAGAAGGTGAGAGCTGGAAAGGAAACCTGGATCTTTGGGTCTGTAAAACTCTCTCTCTCTGGCACTCTGTGCTAAGACAAACCTACAAAAACCTGGCACATGGAACATTCCCCCAGTGAAGGGATTTTCAGCCTTTGATGCCACAAAACATTCACACCACAGTGTGTGTGTGAGAGAGAGAGAGAGAGAGATTATTCATCCATTTGTTGGGGGCAGGCAATACTGGCTTACTGTTTACCATAACAATGTGGTTTCAATGAAATGATTTAATAGGTCATAATTATATAAAAACACATCTCAAAATTGCAAAAAGGTGGAGTAGTGGTGGTGCATGCCTTTAATCCCAGCACTTGGGAGGCAAAGGCAGGAGGATCTCCTTGAGTTCGAGGCCAGCCTTGGCTACAGAGAGAATTCCAGGACAGGCTCCAAAGCTACACAGATAAACCCTGTCTCAAAAAGAAAGAAAGAAAGAAAGAAAGAAAGAAAAGAAAGAAAGAAAGAAAAGAAAGAAAGAAAAGAAAAGAAAGAAAGAAACGAAAAAAAAATGCAAACAGTATTGCCATCAGGCAAAACAGAGTTCTAATGCCTGAAGATTTAGTTTTGAGAAAATGACCTCACAATTTTCAGGGGCAGCTCAGATGACACGTGATTCAGACCTGAATTCAGATCTACCCCTCTCCATTTCAAATTTAATGTTTCTATTTTGCAATACAAACAGTCCCATGAGGAGCTTGATAAAAATACTGATACCAAGGCTGGAAAGAGGGATCAGAAGTTAAGGAGCATGTACTGCATTTGCAGAGGACTTGAGCTGGGTTTCCAGCACCAACATACAGGGGCTCACAAACTGCTTGTTCTTTTAGTTCCAGATTCAAACCTCGTTTCTGGCTCCTCTGGCACTTGACTTTGTACACACACACGCACACACACAATCATAATGTTAAAAAATGTGAAAAAGAAACACATAACCCAAGTAGATAATGAGCAGGACTGCATTTCTAAAAGGTTAACGCTGCCGACGCAAGGCTACTGTGCTCGAGACCACAGTGATCCTGCAGGACACTCAAATTCCAAACATGCACTGACGTCACGTCACAGGCTGGTAATCACTCTGTTCCCCAAAAGAAAGTCCACCTGTTCCTGTCAATCACCTCCACGTGTTCTATAAACCCCACCCCCACGACGCGCGCCTGTGACGCATGAACGTCTCCCCCCGTGACACCCGTGACCTCCCCTTCACAAATTCCCCGGCATGGTACCCTGCGCCGGACCACAACCGCGAGTGGCCGGTACCTGTCCGGACGCCAGTGCGCAGGCGCCGCAGGGAACCAGCCGCTACCGCCCTCGCGCCGCTCATTGCCGGTGACAATGCAACCACGGCCCGAACGCCCGGGCCAATCGTGCCGTCGGCTCAGGATGATGACGCATAGGTGTGGCGGGCAGGAGCCAGAGGAAACGCCCTAGACTCTGAATTCCACCCGATTGGCTGGAAATGACCGATGCAAGAACTCTTATTGGGTGTGCTCCCTGTCGATCATTTTGACGTCGTGAGGGACCCTGGCCACTTTTATGGGTGAGGGTGCGGAGTTTCCCTGGAGAAGCAACCCTGGTGCGACCCCCTAGGTTACTGGTGGGGCCTTTGATTCCCCTGCTTCACGGAGATTATTTTTCTCTATTTACAGTGTCTCTATACCTAGAAACCAATAGAAATTACCTGCTAAAACACTCCAGTGTTTGGTGTAAATTGTGGGCCTCATAGTTCATTTCACAGTATTTCCTATCCCTTCTCAATTTTTGTATTGAGATTTGTTTCATACATTGTTCTTCATACTTTATTGGATTATTCCTGCCCGTTTGTATTGGTGCATATTAGTAGTGAAGATGGCTGTGTGTTGAGGGAAGGAAAATTTAGCAACGTTAAACTTTGAAAAGTGGATATCTATTAATATGACAGCTAGGGTCTACATTTTCAAGTAAGTAATGTGTATGAGGACAAAAAATGCCTGTAAGGATATACATCAGTCGTCATAGGTGCCGACAGAAGCCGTGGCTTTAAGGGAGCTTCAGTTTGCACCCTTATTTGTATATATTTGATACATAGCCACTGTAAAATAATTGAAGCTGCTAAGCTATTTTATATAACTATCATGTTTAAATTAGTATACTACGATAGCTTAAAATTAAGATGAATCCAAGTACTCAACACTAGCAGCAGTGAGGCTCAGCTTAAACCTGTCACCCAAAACCTTCACATGTTCAAAACTTTTGCCATGTATTGCACTTCTATATCTGTCCTAAAGAAAATAAAATGTTGAGATATATGAATTCCTAGTTATTATTGAAAATTTTAGAAGTAAAATGTTAAAAATTGGGGGTTAAGAGTGCTTCCTGGTCTTGCAGGACCTGGGTTTGGTTCACAGCACCCAACTAATAGTTGCCTGTAACTCCAGCTCCAGGGTATCAGGCACTGACCTCTGGACTTTGCAGGCACCTACACAAAGGACACACATAGACAAATACACATTTTAAAAATACTATGTTACCATCAAGAAAATGCTAAAAACAAACGAAAACCTAACTGATTCTTGGGCACAGTTAGCAGCTCCCTGAAATGTATGTAATGATATTGTAAGGGAAACAGGCCAGCCAAAGAAACACACTTTGGCCCAGCAGCCAGAACCAAAGAAATGCACCCTGATCCTGAAACCAGTGCCAATGAAACACGCTTTGTCCCTAGAATTGGAGCTAGTGAAAGAAATACATCTTGGAGCTAAAATTAGAGCCAAAAGGCTAAAAAAATTAAAAAAATAAAAAACAGTGAAAGAAACACACCTTGGCCCTGAAGCCAGAGCCAAATTTGCCCTTGACCCTGAGCAGAAAACCAGCCAGTCCCTGAGCACAAGATCTAGCCAGTCTGAGCTCAGGGACTGAAATCTGACCAATCCCCACCCTGGAAAACTCTGCCCCTAAGAAGCTCTATATAAACCCTGTGTCTGTTCAGTTTGCTGCTGTCTTCTTCCACGCTGGCAGAGAACAGCCACTCTCCTGGATTCTTCCCTCCCAATAAATCTCTTGAATGAAGTTTGGGTGAGACTTTACTTGGCCAGAATGGAGTGGAGGAGAGAAGTAACAACTTTTCCCTGGAGCCAGAGCAGAGCAGAGCAGGGCTGTAATACTTTCACTGGGGAAACCTGCCCCTAGTGAAGCTGCTATGCTTACTGTGACCTATGGTATTCTTTGGCTCCGGAGTGCCAGAATACCTTTCCATCCAAGCCACAATGCTTACAGATATATTTTATGTTCATATCTGATTAGGTAACTCAGGCTTGCCTTAAATGGTGATATGGCTGCTTCAGCCCTGGGTCTCTCTGTGTGTGTGTGTGTGTGTGTGTGTGTGTGTGTGTGTGTGTGTGTGTGTGTGTACAATGGACTGTGAAAGAACTTTGGATAAATGATAAAGCATTTAAGTGAGAATACTATAATTTCTCTCCTCTCCCTCCATCTGTGCTTTACTTTATTTTGGTTATGAGACAACAGTCTTACCCTGTATCTAGGTGTCTTGGAACTTGCAGTATAGTCCAGTCTGGCCTTGAAGTCTTTGCAGTCTACCTGCCTCAGCCTCGATGGTGCCTCTCACTTTATTAAAAAACATAACAAAAAAACCCAGTTGTGTGCTTATGAGTAATTTTAATTTTTTCTCTATAGTTTTCAATCGTTCATATTATGGTAAGTACTTTTATGTTTTCTAAAGGGAAAAAAGTATGTTCTTCTCTAATCAAATCCTGAAATATAAAAGCAATTTGTCTTGTTTTTGTATCTTATATGTAAGGGAACTGTCCCAGCAAGTGAAGACATTTGTTGACAGTCACACAGCAATGGGTACATCCCATGTTTCACTACAGAGTAAAGATGTGTTCAGAAGTTCTTACAGGGCCAGACCTTGTGCCACCCTGGAAAAAAATGAATTCTTTTGTTTCCAAATACTTAGCATAAGTGGGTAGCTGATTTTTAGCTGTGAGACTTACTTGCAAACTTAAGAATTCATGCAAACTAAAAACTTGTCTAACTGGATTCTTCTCTTTACTGGGATGAGAACATTTTGTGACTGAAAGAACCTGCAAGACTGCCTTAAGAGACTGGCCTACAAAGCCAGTTCCAGGACAGCCAGGACTGTTACACAGAGAAATCCTGACTCAAAACATGCCCTCCCACAAAAAAGAAAGAAAGAAGGAAAGAAAGAAAGAAGGGAGGGAGGGAGGGAGGGAGGGAAAGAAGGAAAGAAGGAAGGAAAGAAAGAACAAGAGCCTACAGAAGAAGAGGGCAAATGGAAATGTTTGCAGAGGCTTTTAAAGTTCAGTCTTCCAGGGTTTGTATAGGGGAAGAATGACAAAAACCCACTTCAAGTACCCATTTGTGGTTGCATGGTTACAGGAAATGTGTATTGCTGCTGTGGAATGCCATATGGCCATTAAAAAGAAGGACATAGCTACTTGCACAGAACTTCAAGATATTATGAAGGAGAAATTCAGATATATGTATTCACAACACATACCCAACACTTACATATCTACTTCAATATTTATTATATCTTTATAGAGCAAAATAAACACTAATAGTGCTTTTCTACAGTGCTAAGATATAAAATGCTTAAAAATAGCTTTGCTTTTGAAATTTAAAACACACAGACATGCTTTTCTTTGGCTTCAGGAAAGCCAAGAAGTGATAAAAACTCATCTAATACATCCATCAGATGTCAAAATGCTACCTCCTCTAATTTCAGTGAGAAATAAAGAGCAGCTTTACAGAGTATTGCAGCTTTCCTCATCACCTCATTCTTGATGAACAGCTTCTGTGAGTTCATGTACATACAATGACACTTTAAAACTTCCAAGATACTGTGTAGTCAGTAGTTTAACACGCCTGTTAGAGAGCCACACTTTAAAAACTATACCGACATCACCTGGTTATTAAAGTTATCAAAACATTCAAGTAAGAGGTATGTACATTAGCAGCATTAACTAAAACTAATATATTATTTGGCATATTTTGGTATCCGTTTTATAACAAAGAAAACAGCATTTTATTCATTTTATCCACCATCTGTACAAACAGGAAAGTAGATAATCTTCAGGGCCATGGTGAGTGACAAGAATATTATATGAAGGCACTAGGCAAAAAGGCCAACAATTATTTATGAGGATGGAATGAACTTTGGTTTATTTGAAATTCTTAGGTTTAAAAACTCAGATCTTCAAATACAAGAAAAGGTTAGGAAATGCACATTCTTACATATATAAAAATCCCATGTTAATACAACCTCATGGAAGATCAAAGAAATGATTGTGTTGGGCTTGAGCATATGAGTTCCATACACACACACACACACACACACACACACAGGACCCTTTATACACATACAGATGTGTTAGCCATGACAAGTTTGCTTTGCTTCCAGAGCAAGAAGCCAATCATTTTTAGGAAACAAGGCAGTGGGAGATCCTTCTTGGCAGCTTTCTAAAACATAAGTCTAGTTTTAAATGTCAGGAAAGGTTAGGAGCCAGTGAAAACCAGTAGAAGACTCAAACTGTCTGTCACAGGACTGCAGCACTCTGACCAAAACTTTAAAGTGAAAGCCGATCAAACATTATTAAAAGGGTCAGCTTTGGGGAGGCATATGACAAGGTATTTATTAAATACGGTTTTTTCTGTTAGCGGAGATCTCAAGAGATACTGTTTTTGTAATGTTTTATAAAAACAAAGGTACACACATCCAAAGTTTTAAGTGCAGGCAAACCTAACCCTTTGAGATGTGTATTTAAGCAATCAGAACCCAAACTATGTTTATATTATGGGCTGTTCTTGTGAATAGGCTAGGCCATGGATCTACATCTGAAACCACACATATAACCCCGGAGCCTTACCCACAGCTTCAATACCAAACAGCACATTATAGCCTGGCTCTGAAACATTTGGTGTCCTTCAGGAATGAAGAGCTCTGCAAGGAAGACTAATGCCATTTGAAAACAGAGGAACTGTCTTGTCCACCTTACAAGGTTTTACCCTTCTTCAATTCTGTCACCAAATCTTAGAACTTGGAACCAGGTGGAAACAGAAGGTTGGTGGCTAACTAGTCAACTAAGGTCACTTTTCCTTGAGGAGTGAACAAGGCTGCAGAAAAGGCTTGGAGAGCTGAGGCGCAGGACCTGCAACCTGCCCCAGTCCCCTGCTCAATAGCTGACACTGATAGGGGCAGAGATTCAAGTGGTCCAGGCACAAGGCAGGGGCTACCATGATGGTCTCTCCACATTCTTATCAGCTTTAGCCTTTAGTACCTGAAGATGCCTGTTCACTTGAAAAAATAAGAAGTCAGGTTTAATTTTAAGTCACCAGTGGCATTTGAGAGAGTACTCACTCAGTCTGGAAAGACTTCCAAAGAGACCACCCAGCTTTGGAGATGGGGGAACTTAGTTTTACTTCGGAAAACAACACACACAAACCTTTAAATACTACAAAAATTTAAACAAAAATAAATAAATAACAATCTCCCTCTCTGATTTCAATTATAAAGCCTGAGAAACTTGAGAAGTTAGTGGTTTGGTGGAATCCCCAGCCAGCCATGGCTTCCCACGTGTCAGCCTGCGTGGCTAAGTCACTTAAAGCTCTGAAGTCTAGAAAGATACATTTTAACATTTCCACTCAGAGCCCAGGTGGACTAGGCAGAGTCAAGTGCTGAGAAGTTGTAGTCATCATCTTCATGCTCAAGCCTGCTGGCTCCGCACATCCCTTTGAGCTTCTGTTAGTTTCTGGATGAGATAACGCTTGTCACGGCTCTCCTAAAAAAAAGAGAAGCAGGTCCGGAGTCCATCTCATGTTTAGAAATGTACAAAGCTACTTCTGTCAAATGAGTCTCTACTCAGGCTCAAGGGAAGGGATTCCAGCCATTGGACTGCCACAGTGCTTTGCAGTCTGGCCTGTCTCCCTCACTGGATTCCCCTTGTCCACAGCCCCTTGTCCACATGACAGCTGGAGATCTTCTAGAAATGTACATGGGGGCTGAGTACCTGGCATGCACACAGCCCTGGGTTCCACCCCCAGCACTGCATAAATTGGGTGTGGTGGGGTCCATGGCTGTAACCCCCATCCCTTAGGAGGTAGATGTAGGAAGATCAAAAGTTCAAGGTCATCCTTGACTACATTTTGAGTTTGGGACTAGCCTGGGCTACAAAGACCCAGTCTCAGATAGACAATTTAACCCAAATACTCAATAAAACCCAAACCTCCTATCAGATCTGCCTAATGTCAAAAACTCATCTTGCCACCCCCATCCACCACAGCCCTCCAGCCACACACTCCCATTCTCTTGTCTCCCCAGAGTGTCTGGCTTATTCCCACACTAGGTCCTTCCACTCCACTAAGGACCTCTAATAACTGGCTACTGCCATCCTTCCCATGTCACCTGACTTCCTTCAATAGATCTTCCACATCCGCTGGCTGAAGTAGCCTTGACCCCTCCATCACCCCACATAGCTAGCTTTTATGATCTTCACAGAAATTAGTTTTCAGAATGCGTGTCACTGTGTGTACCTGCCCTTGAGATGTGTACATGTTCATGTGGGGGTAGAGGAGCATATGTGGGGGTAGGGGAGCATGTGTGTGTGTATGTGGACATTCATGTAGCAGCCAGAAGTCAAACTCAGAAGTCAACCTCAGGTACCATTTCTCAAGTAGTGTTGGGAAGGTGGAAGTGGTATTTGCTATTAAAATTCTTTTTAGATTTGTTTATATCTTATGTGCATCAGTGTTTTGTCTGAAGGTGTGTATGTGCACCATGTGCCTATCTGGTGCCTGCAGAATGTCAAAAGACGGTGTCAGATCCCCTGGAACTGGAATTATGGATGACTGGAAGCCACCATATGAGCACTAAGAATTGAACCCGGGTCCTCTGCAAGAGGAACAAGTGTTCTTAACCACTGAGCCATCTCTACAGCTCCCTGTCCACCATTTTTTGAGACAAAGTTTCTTAATTGGACCAGCTTATAGGATAGGCTTCCTGGCCAGTCGGTCTACAGACCCACCCGATTCTGCTTCCCTGGTGCTGGGACTACAAATGCAGGCCATGGTACCTGCCTTTTACATGGACGCTGGGGTCCAACTCAGTCCTCATGCTTGTGCAGCAGCAATTTACACATTCAACTATCTCCCCATTCCAAATATATCATTTCTCCAACTCTTTAGTGCTTTTGTCTCTCTGGCATAGTACTAGATGAACCAGTGAATGAATGAAACCAGAGAGGGCTGTTTTATTCCCCCGCCCCATTTCTTTAATAGAAACAAGGTCTTGCTGGTGTAGAACTCACTATGTAGACCAGGCATATGTGGAACTTTTAATCTTCCTGCCTCAGCCTCCTGAGTGCTAGGATAGCCTGTGCCATCATGCCCCGAGTCCTAGTTTCATGTTCCTGGCCATGGCCCTCTGGGTCTGTGGTTCCTTACCAGGAACAGCTGCTCTCGGAGCTGGACAACCACCCGCTTGTGTGCTCCAGCCAATGCAATGAAGTAGAACATGACAAGGCTGCAAGACAAGACACATGGGTTATAAGGGAACCTGTGTAATTAGCCTGTGCTAATCATAAAGTTACTGATGCTTCTGCCCTGATGTTTGGGATGATAAAGTGAGAAGAGGAAAAGTCAAAGTCAGTTAAGGGTGTCAGAAACTGGCTGGGATGCTCACTTGGCAGGTACTCTGGCCTCTATTTCCTCATCTGTGAGATGGATAAAGGAAAACTTGGTGACAAGCTTAGGACTAAAAGCCATTAAAAACTTCTAGTCTGCAGCTCTGGGTCTCAGATAGAGTCAAGTTATGGTGGGACAGAGGGCAAGACCACATTTCATGGAGAAGCCAATCTCACCTCATTCCTGCCTAATGTCCCCAGACAGGGCTGATAAAGTGAGGACCAAATAACCAAGAGGTGTAGAGATCCTGCAAGTCTCTTCAAGCCACAGGCCTCTAAGGACAGCAAAGGCAGAGCAGATGTCTAACCACCAGGGGGCATGGGTGAACTATGAACCCATTGCTGCTGGAACACAGCTTCTTGGGAAGTCCAGGTCAGCTAGCTGAGCATCTCTAAGTTATTTTATTATTAATCTCAGCAAGGAATAGGATTCCTCTTTTCATGAGTTTTGTTTTTTTATCTTTTTATTTTTTTTTAATTTTAAGATTTTATTTATTTATTATGTATATAACATGCTGCTTCCATGTATATCTGCACACCAGAAGAGGGCACCAGATCTCATAATGGATGGTTGTGAGCCACCATGTGATTGCTGGGAATTGAACTCAGGACCCCTGGAAGAGCAGTCAGTGCTCTTAACCTCTGAGCCATCTCTCCAGCCCCAAGTTTTGTTTTTTAAAACTACTTTCTATAGTGGGATTTTACTGGACTAATCATGTCATAGGATAAGAGTGTTTTGTAAGTTAGGGTGAGGAAGGTACAGTCAGTTTCAGTTAATTGTAGCTTAGACATGGCAGAGGCAGGGTTCAAGTGCAAGCAGTTCTCTAGTGCTCTTCTGTTGCCCACTGATCCATTATTTACTTTTCATAGAGTGTGAGATTTAGGCAAACCACCAGTGATGTCAGGAATAAGTCATGTTTACTGTGTTTTTTATAAGCAGGAACATAGGGCTCAGGTCTTAAGTGTGTAAACTTTCTGAGTATAGTCAACATTCCCCTGAGTGAATGTTATTATGTCATTTTAAAACTGGAAAGTGAGGCTCAGAGAAGTTAGGTAACTTGTCAAGCCTAGCACGTGACACTCTGGGGCATCCCCAAAGGCCCATATGCTAAGAGTGTGTCTCTCAGCAGGTAGTGCTGGGATGGGGTCTAGTGAGAGGAAGGTAGGTCTCTGGGGTGTGTCCTTGAAGGGGATTTTGAAACCCAAGTCCTTCCCTCTTTCTTTGCTTCCCAGTGGACATGAAATGAACAGGCTTCCTGTACCACGAGTTCCCACAGAAGGGACTCTGGCCAGCTCGAGGGTGGTGAGCCAGCCTCTGGCAGGCCTTGTTCTTCTCTCCCATTCCCTCTGCCTTGCTAAAAACTGTTAGTTTACATTCCTAAAGCTAGTCACCAAGGTCTATTCCCTTAGTAGGCCACTTCCTCCTCCTGAGGCTGATTACCAAGGTCCAGTTATCAAAGTATTGAAATCCATCAATCAAAAGCCCCTTTTGGCTCACCTAATTAATATGCCCAGTTAAAATTAAACACCTCTTTCCCTCACCCCTGCCCTGAAGTGGGTGGGAGAGCTGGCCCTGAGGTCATAAGAGTAGGAGAGCTAGGCCTACCATCATCAGCTACAGCACTGGGGAGTGTGGCCCCTATGCCATGCCTGGGCAATACAGCAGAGCTGACTCTCAAGGTGTAGATGTAAAAGAGCTGACCCTGAGGACATCAAAGCACAACTGGCCCCGCCCCTTGCTCATTGCTGCAAAGGGTGAACTACCCAGGGCAATGCAGGAGACCTCACCCTGGTGGTGAAGACAGGGAGAGCCTGTGGGCTGACCAACCCTCCAACTATCCAGGCCCAGAACCAAGATTATGGGCTGGCCTACCCCAATATCCACCCCATCTGTGATTTGCTGGAGCATGTAAAGGGACTGGTCCTGCAGACCCAAAACTGCACGATTTCCACAACACAGGGGAACAGCAGGATAACCAAGGGAAGTTCCAGCAAGGGCCCAGCACCAATGGTGTAGCAGAAATCAGAGACCTTGAACCAGACCAATGACTCTCTGCAATGAACACTTGCAAGTAAAGATATATGGACAGAAGGGTTTATTGAGTGGCTCACTGTGTCACACTACAGCTTCCATGATGAGACTGATTTTTTCCCCTTCTCTCTCCTTTTCTTTTTTCTCTTAAGTTTTATTTTTTGGGTGGGGAGGTTGCAAGGGCAGAGGGTAGATACGAAGGGATGGGGAAATGAATGGGATGGAGATGTATGATGTGAAAGACACAAAGGATAAATAAAAGGAAGGAAAAAATAAACATTAAACACCTCATCGTAACTCAGGGTTTCCCCCCTTTGCCTTTATAAACCTCCATTTTCCTATGGGCCATGTCTGTCTCCTCTCTATCAGATCTTTGTCCCACTCTCCCTTGTTCTCTTCCCCTTCTCCCTCATCCTCTATCTCCTGTCTTTGTCCCTTATCCCTATCCTTTGTTGCTCTGGGGCAAACAAATCTCCTTTGTGCTGAGAACTTGGTCTTGGAGGTCCTTGGCTGATACTTTTCCTTTCTCCAGCCATGCTATACAAGGCCACTACAGGCCCAAAGGCAACAGTGCCAAGCCACCATGGAACAGAGTGTCTGAAACCCCAAGGCAGGATAAAGTTCTCCTCTTTCTAAATTGATTCTTCTGTCATTTTGTCACAGTAACAGAAAGCATCTGAACACACATCCTCCATTTCCCATGTGGGAGGAGACACACTGCTCTGGTCTGGCTGTCACTTACCAGATGATCATGAAGAAAGGCACTGCGAAGGCTTCCGATGTGACACCATGGATCAGAGTCTGCAGCGAGCTGGGAAAGGTGCTCACAGTCAGGGGGATAACCTCCCAGGTGGTGTTGTAGTTGGTGAATGGCCCGCAGGCTTTGGAGGAAGGGATGCTGCCAGGACAGAGAGGGAGGGAATGCAGCCCAGCCTGAGAGGTCTGCTGCTGCATGGCCAGAGTATTTATTTACAATAGCCTGCAGGGAGCTTCCAAGCCCACACGTTTCTGGAGTACTATGTTTGAAAATGCTGACCCTGAGATTCCAACAAGTCTCTAGGTCTAACTTTCAGTTTGCCGGACACACAAGGCAGAAATGTAAGCTTGATGTCACAGAAGGAACACACTAGACATACTAGATTAATTCCTTTAATCTGAAGGCAGAGAAAATGGCCAGAACTCCTTAAAGAATCAAAGACGACTACAAAGATTTGACAGCTGAGCACAGTGGGAACAATTGCTGCTTTAAAATGAACCTGCGAAGACTGTGTTGGGATAAATGAGAAATTTGAAAACTGGCAGGAGTAAATTAGCAGTGTTTCTTCTCTCTCCTCTCCTCCCTCCCTCTCTCTCTCTCTCTCTCTCTCTCTGCACACGAATGCATGTGCACATGTATGCATGTGCGTTTGTGTGCACACGTGTGTTCCTGGAGGCAGAAGTCAACATCACTGTCTTCCTTTTTTAAAGCAGGTCTTCTCAGTGAACACTGGATCTGGGGCTTGCCCTTTTGACCAGTCTGGCTGGCCAGTGAGCCCCTGGGAAGCTGCCTGTCTCCATTCTCCCACCTGTCCTCTGCCTGCTACCCAGCATTGGGGTTAAAAAGTTGCAAGACCAAACAAAACAAAGGAAAACCAAAACAAGTATGTCTGGAGAAGCCAGTAGGGACTTCTGTGGGCTCTAGAAAAGCCCATGAAGAATGTTACAAGTTCTGGACCATAAAGAGATATGAGTCACAAAAGAAAGCAGTTTTAGAAAATGAAGGAATACTTACCGTGACATGCTGATTGTTAGTGGTATTATTGCTAAACACAGCCCAATCAGCAACACCAGCAGGAAGAAGAAGTTAGAATTGGATGCTCTGAACTGCCTTGGGGAGGGTCTGCAGGTGTAAAGAAGACTCAACTATGGAACAAAAGAGAAAGGAAAAAAAAATAAGAGTCCTGAGTAGTAGAGTCCCACGTTGTAGTGCAACTAGGGACTGTCTATCCCTGCCAAGGCACAGTATCACACAGGTGGAAAAGAAGAATACTCAGTGCAGATTCCACTTGGGAAAATTCATGCTGATGACATAATAAGAAGAATGGACCAAAACACAGTGACACTACAACTGTTGAATAGAGGGAACAACCCAGAAGGAGTGTTGAAAGCTAACAGTGAGGACTCCTTAAAGAGGATCTGAAAGATGTAGGGATGACAGCCTGTCACATATCATGCACTGGAAGGAAAATGTTAAACTTCAAGACCCTGTAAAGCACAAACTTATTAAAGTTTTACTATTTTATTATTCATAGAGATTTAAATATATATATCTACAGTGATCTATGTCAACTAAGGAAGATATTTTGCCTGAACAATTTACAAGCACATAATCTTTCCTATGTGTTAAAAATTAATATTTACACTGGAGGGAAAAGACTTGAAGGAAATACCAAGTAGAAAAGGACAGAATGAAAAATAAAGGCATACTATTCCCAATAAGACAAACAAGACACTAGCATTTCTGGGTAGGACATGAAACTTGTCTGAATTCCATAGGAACCAGAACAACTTGTGAGCTTCTAGAGGATACTCAGCCAGCCAGTGGGGCGGGCCTGAAGCCTGTGTCCCACAAGAGGCCAGTGACCCATTTCACACTCCTGGGCTTCACTACATTGCACATGGGAACTCACTAGCCAACCAGTATTTTCCTGTGAATGTGTCCACACTCCTGTCTCCTCTGATGACATCAGCTAAGTGATGTTTCCAAATGAGGACATGAGAACATCAGTCAAAGGCCAAGGCACCCAGAATAAAGCCTGGCCCAAGGCAAGGTCCCACTCACAGGGTGGGCAGTCATATTCAGCGGCAGCAAGCTAAACCTGACTCTAACACTCAGAGAACGTGCTCACACTGTGTGACCTGGGACTGGTTAGTCCTCTGAACCTCAGCATTCTCCTTCATAAAAAATTAGTGTTGGGGCTGGAGAGATGGTTCAGAGGTTAAGAGTACTGACTGCTCTTCCAGAGGTCCTGAGTTCAATTCCCAGCAACCACATGGTGGCTCACAACCATCCGTTATGAGATCTGGTGCCCTCTTCTGGTGTGCAGATATACATGGAAGCACAATGTTGTATACATAAATAAATAAAATCTTTAAAAAAAATTAATGTCTAATTCCAGGGCTGGAAGTAAGCACCACAGACAGGAAGTGGGGGCACTGAGGAGCACAGGCTAATAGTATTATTATTATCTGTTGTCACCATCATCATTATGAATGCTATTATTTCCATTTTTTAATTGCTAGGTAATCAATAAAATTTAGATTTGGGGTGGGTATACAGGTGAATGGCACGGTACTTGCCTAAACATGCTCATAGTTCTGGGTTCAAGTGCCAGCACTAAAAAATTAATTAAAAATAAATCTTAGGGTTGGTAACAAAGAATACAGCAGAAGAAGGGTGGTGATTATTATTTATATGCTTGTTTTATTGTTTAATGAGTATGGGGGCTGGTGAAATGGCTCTTACAGAGGACCAGAGTTAGTTTTCAGTACCCCACCCATACCAGGCAGCTCACAATTCCCTGTAACTGATCTGAGAACCTAGCACCTCTGCCCTCCAGATGTGTGTGCTGTGTACAAGTGTACACACACACACACAGAGAGAGAGAGAGAGAGAGAGAGAGAGAGAGAGAGAGAGAGAGAGAGAATGAGAATTAATAATAAAAAGATCTCTGTCGGGGGCTGGAGAGATGGCTCAGAGGTTAAGAGCACTGGCTGCTCTTCCAGAGGTCCTGAGTTCAATTCCAAGCAACCACATGGTGGCTCACAAGTATCTGTAAGGAGATCTGGTGCCCTCTTCTGGTGTGCAAGCATACATGGAGGCAGAACACTGTGTATATAATAAATAAATATTTTTTTTTAAAAAAAGATCTCTTTGTCTTCATTTTAAAAAATAATGAGTATGACTTGCTTTATAATAATGAACAAACTAGTAAGTCACCTTCAGGGCCACTTCACCCATATAGCATCTGATCCTGCCACAATGTGTGGGGACTATGAACTGTGCCAGTCACCAAACCCTGAAAAGCTATGCATTGACTCTGACATTACAAAACAAATCAACAAACCCTTGGCTAAATGTCACTGAAACATACCACTGTTGTCGGATTCCTATCCGAGACTCAGCTCAGTCAGTCAGTCCTATATAAAAACTACACTTACATTATAGGACGAAAGCAATTCTTAATGTGCTTGAGAAAGTTGTCAAACAAAACAACAACAATAAAAATGACCAGTGAGCCCAGCACTTGGGAGATCAAGGCAGGAAGATCAGGGATTTGAGGCTAGTTAGAGATACACAGCAAAAAAGAGATGAAAAGTTATTGGAAGTTCTTTCCTAGAATAAACACATATTAAGGAAGCAGTATTGCATGAGGCCCTAGATTGGAGGGACATGTAATTACGATGTGTCTCAAGGCTAAGGAATGGCCTTCAAACATGTGAATGCCTCAGATGGGGCTGGGGACACAGCTCAGTGCTATACCACTGGCCTGGCCTGCTGGAGGCACTGGGCTCCTGTCCACAGCATAGCAATAGCAAAACAACAGAAAGAGCATACAGGGTGTGAGTCCCATCCCCTTTCTTACCTCTTTCACGTAAAAGATGATAACAAACTTCAAAGTGGCAATTGCAGGGAGGAGTGGGGAGAAGAAGGCTCCAATCCAGCAGATGGTCTGCCCATACACAATGCCCAGGACGTTGTCTGGGATGGCAAATTCCTGCTGCCCCCAGCACTGGATCAGCTTCGAGGACGAACAGTAGGTCACCAGGAGCCTGGAAACAAACTAGACATATCTACAAGTACCCCTAAGGCTACAGAACCATACCCACCAACCAACGTCATTTCCATGGTAAGTTAAGTGTATATATGTATGAGTGTATACATGTTTGTGCATGGGGGTGTGTGAATGTGCCTCTGGGGACCAGAAATTGACATCAATCAGATGTCTCCCTCAGACATGCTCCACCTTATGTTTTGAGGCAGGCTTTCTCTCTCTCTGAGCCCAGAGCTTACTGACTGGGCTGAAGTGGCTGACCATTGAGCCTCTGTGATCCTCCCATCTCCAATTCTGGAATGCTGGGATTCCAGGCACAAGCTGCCACTCCAGGCTTTTATATAGGTGTTGGAGATCTGAATTCAGGTCCTCCTGAATTTTGTATGGCAAGTGCTTTACTGACTGAATGAATCATTTCCTCAGCCTAATGTTTCTTTTTTATTATTTATTGTGTTATTATTATTATTTTTTATTAAAAAAACTTCATTTATGTATGTTTATATGTATGTATGTACCCACTGAGTGCAGATGTGCAATGGCACGTGTGTAGAGACCAGAGAGCAATGTGTAGAAGTCAGTTCTCTCTTTCCACAGTGTGCGTCCCAGTGAGCAACTTCAGGTGGTGAGCCATCTTGCTGGCCCCTACATTTGCTTTTCTAATACCTAATTTTAGGGTTCACTGGGCTTCTAGATAATTCCAGACTGGACTTCTAGATAATTCCACATCTGAATTATCTGCTCAAGTTGCCCAGGCTGGTCTAGAACTCAGGATGTTCCTGCCTCAACCTCCTGAGTGCTGGAATGACAGGCCTGCATCATCACACTCTGGGTGCCTTGACTGTCTGGCAAGCAGAGATTCACTTAAGACTCCTGAAAGAACAGTGGTGATGGTCACAGTGGTGATGGTCACAGTGGTGATGGTCACATAATGTTGAGCTCTGTGCCACAGAGTGTTCTCCCTGTTTTGATCTGTGTTATTGTGGTGGTTTGAAAGAAAATGGCCCCCATAGGGAGTAGCACTATTAGGCTTTGTTGGAATAGGTGTGGTCCTGTTGGAGGAAGTATGTAACTGTGGGAGTGGGATTTGAGGTCTCATTTGCTCAAGCTGTACCCAACGTCACAGACTCCTCCTGCTGTCTGTGGATCAAGATGTAGAACTCACAACTACCTCTTCAGTACCATGTCTGCCTGCACACCACCACGTCCTGCCATGAGATAATGGACTGAACCTCTGAAACTGTGTTTGTCTCTTCACAGCAATAGAAACCCTAACTAAGTCAATTATCTTGCTTACTCTCAGAGGAAGGCTACGAGGTGGCCCCACTACCATCCTGTTCCTGTCTCGGGTGAGAAATTCTGTGTCTTGTTACTGAGAGAAATAACTTATGCATCATTACATGATCAGCAAGAAGCTTCTGGATGTGGATTCACATCCAGAAGCTGCACCCAGTGTGTCTGCCCTGGCAGGGTCTTGGCTGCATCAAGTATAGGAAGTCAATCCCAGGAGGCCTTGTGGGAGGAGGTACCATCTCCACCCCGGGTACCAGGGCACCATCTAAAGATGTGGTGGCTGATGCTGCTACAGTGTCAACAGCCTAGAGCCATTTGAAAGTCACCAAATGTCAGTGGTTCGCCAGTAACTGTGGCGTCACCCAGTTACTCATGGAGAACAGCTGGGTTGGGAGCATCCAGGCATGAAGTTGGGGTGGCAGGGACTTCCACACTTACTTCCTAGGGAAATCCACAAACAGTGTCACGGCCAGGATGATGATGAAGTCAAAGATCATCAGCTTGTACATTTCCTGTCCCACCTGTGTCTCCCAGCACTGGAATCAAGACACGGAGACAGTAAAGGATCCACTCCCAGCATAGGAAGCCAGCCTCCTGTATTCTCAATCATCTCCACATCCCACTGTCCCCAAGCTCATGCACAGACTTCAATAGCCAAGCTGTTGACCATGCCTGGCATGGGACCAGATTGGCCTTGAAGCTGAGAGTCAGGGCCATGGCTCACCGGGTAGAGTTTCTGGTTATAGCCACAGAGTTCACATGTGTTGTCACCACAGGATGTGATCTTGGAGCCCAGCGTGAACACCAGCACACAGATGGTGGCCAGCCGCATGAAGACACACCTGTGGGAAAGGGGAGGGGAAGAGAAGACGTCAGGGCTGGGCTTCTTGTGGATCTGACACTGAGGAACACAAGCACCTTCCTCTCAAGCAAACCTGAAGCTAGGCAGAGTTTCTGCTGGGGGAGTGGATGGTAGGGAATTGACAATGAATTGTACACTTTAAATGGATCAAATAGTAACTTCATGTTATATTATCAATTTTTATTATTTATATGCATATGTATGTGTTTGCGTGAGGACATGTGTACATGCATACAGGTGCCCATGGGGGCCAGAAGGGACATCAAATCCCCTAGAACTGAAGTTACAGGCCACCTGCTAGGACCTAAACTCGGGTCTTCTGCAAAAGTTCCTAACCACTGAGCCATCTCTCCAACCTCTACAAGTTCTAAGGCAGGAAAAAGCAAGGCATGATGGCACACAAATGATGAGTTCAAGGTCATGTTGAGCCTGGGCATGGGAGGGTATGGGCCCTATTGCACATATTTCTTTGAAGTCTTTGAATGACTGTGGTCCTAGTAGGACAGGGTTTCTGCAGAGCCACTCCCATTAATGTGATATGAAATTACAGGGAGCACTGAAGGGGAAAGAGGCATCTAACATAACATCTTGTCACAGACAGGCCATGAGGGCTGGCTCTAAGCTTAGTGTGCACATGCATTAACTAATGCAGTGGGACTGGTTGTCGGAGCTTTGGGATCAGGGGCTAAAAAGAACTAACTCATTCTTAGCAATGATGGAGAATGTCAGGGATTTTCTCACCTCACAAAACAAGGAAATTCTCTGAACTAAGAAATAATGAGCAGGAGTGAAAACCTGGCAGGCAGCACGGGGAACTTGGACAGGAGCCTTCTCTTAGTCTGGAGAGCAAAGATGTTCATGAAGGCCATTTGCTAAAACAACTTTCCTATTAAATGATGGAGGAGGGGGCATCATCAGTTGGGGTGGGAATGCAGGTGGGTAAAGCACCACTGGGTAGGAGATGTAACTTAATATTCTACCTGCTTAAGTCTGAGGAGAGCTTTGAGGATGACTGTGCAGGCTAGTTTTGTGTCAACTTGACACAAGCTAGAGTCATCTGAGAGGAGGGAGACTGAGCAAGTGCCTCTCCATAAGAGCAGGCTCCAGAAAAGCCTGTAGGGCATTTTCTTAATTAGTGATTGATGGGAAATGGCCCAGCCCATTGTTGGTGGTGACACCACTGGGTTCTATAAGAAGGCAGTGTGACAAAGCCATGAGGATCAAGACAGTAAGTAGCTTTATGTTTACAATACTGCACAACTTTAAAATGCACTAATTTGTACATGTAGTCATGGCTATAAAATCCCCTGGTTATAGCAGTGCTCCTCTATGGTTTCTGCATCAGCTCCTGCCTCCAGGTTCCTGTCCTGACTTTCTTTGATGATGAACATCGATATGGTAAAGTGTAAGCCAAATAAGCCTTCCCTTCTGAGTGGCTTTTGATCATGGTGTTTCTTTTGGTTTTTCAAGACAGGGTTTCTCTGTGTAGCTTTGGAGCCTATCCTGGCACTCACTCTGGAGACCAGGCTGGCCTCGAACTCACAGAGATCTGCCTGCCTCTGCCTCCCAAGTGCTGGGATTAAAGGCGTGTGCCACCAATGCCCGGCCCAACTTGCTTTTTGGTCATCGTGTTTTATTGCAGCAATAGAACCCTAAGACAGACTCAAAAAAACAACAACAACAAAAAAAAAAAACTCACTCTCAGATACTTGAGAAGGAGAAAAAAATTATCCTGTTCAAGCATAGTACCACTTGGCCATCTTTACTCACTGGTGTGACTCTCTGGACTCTGCCCAACACTGTCAAGTCTAACAGTTTTAGAACAGTTATGTCCTTTTAGGGCCCCGTCCTATGCTTTCAGTTAATACAGAATCGAAAGTATAACACTGACAGGAGGATCTGGAGTCTAAGTCCCTTCACTGCATATGCAAATGGCAATTTACTCATGGGGCTCATCAAAGGAAGGATGGCATAGCAGGAAAATGTGCCACAACCGATTAGCAATGTCTGCCATGAGTAAGCAATGGTCTAGCGGGCATGCAAGCAGTTAGGCATTACCTAAGAATTGTAAGGCGGATCTCAAAGCCTGGCGAATAATCCTCATAGTGGATGATTTTGGCAAAGATGATGGGGGTAATGAAATTGGCCAGTGTGATCACAATGGATGGGAGGTACAGTATCAAGAGGTTCTCCCCAAAAACCATCTTGTCAATTTCCTGGAAAGATAACAGAAAGCCCTGGTCAGCATAAGTGGGGTGGCGACAGTGACAACTTGAACTGAAAAGAACTCAACTGTGCATGCTGAGCAGACACACAAAGCACATTTATCATCCCATGTGGCTGGGAAACAAAAGCTTTGGATGCTTGGAACCTTTCTTAGATGCATACATACAGGGACCTAATGTCATGCTGGAAGAATAATGAAAGCTACTGGACATATCGGAGTGCACAGAATTCTGTGCATGCTGCATAAACAGCCCATTCAAGTTACTTTCAAGGATGTTGTGATGATTGACTTGTAACAGCCAGTCTGTCTTTCCTTTATAGGTCACTTAGCCAAATGTATAGCTACCCAAGATGAAAACTAAATTTCTTGGCCTTCCTTGAAGCCAGGTACAACTGTAACTAAATTCTAGCTGAGGCAATAGAATTGCCTCTCATTCTTGAAGAGATGGGTCCGCTCCAGCCCCATCTCTTGTGCTTTGGCTAGAATGTGGAACAAGGCAGTGAACCATCTCGTACCATACAGAAGACAGCCACAGTATATGAATGGATGACAAAGCCATAAGTCAGATGCTATTTATGGTATTTGGGTATCTAATGCCTGATGATTGACAGCCACTAGACCACTAGATGTTTGAGCCTCCTAAGTGCTGGAATGCACAACCACACTCAGCTTCCACCACAGATTTTTTTTAAGATTTTATTTATTTATTATGTATACAACATCCTGCTTCCATGTATATCTGCACACCAGAAGAGGGCACCAGATCTCATTACAGATGGTTGTGAGCCACCATGTAGTTGCTGGGAATTGAACTCAGGACCTCTGGAAGAACAGTCAGTGCTCTTAACCTCTGAGCCATCTCTCCAGCCCCCCACCACAGATTTTTAAAACACTGCTTGGCGCTGGGGAGATGGCTCAGGAGTTAAAGAGTGTGTACTGCTCCTGCAGTGGACCTGGGTTCAATTTCCAGCATCCATAGCCAGCTCCAACTCTAACTTCAGGGGTTCTGACACTCAGCCCACCCCCCTACATATATATGTGCAATTTAAAATAAAAAATATTTTAAAACACTGATCTTTAGATAAACTGAGGTCCTGGCTATTAACTAGAAGAGTCAGAGAGAAAACACAGGCAGCCCAGCTTAGATCTAAATACTGTGAACTCTTCAGGTGGGAAGAGGTATCCCCCAAACAGCATTTTAGATGACTTCAAGGTGGAAACTGATCAGCTGATTTACAATTCCTATATCAACCAAACTTCTCTCTTCACTTGAATAGAGAAATGATGGTGGCACCTTCCACACAGGTCTGCAAGGCACCCGGCATGCTGCCACACCAGAGCGCAAGGTCAGCCGACTCTCACGGAGCACTTACTTTCTTCATATGTTCTTGTGAGAAGGTAGTGGCTAGGTAGATTGCATAAAAGCATGCCGAAAGCACAGCCAGCACGATGCAGTTCAAGAACAGCCTCAAGGAGTAAATGCGTATGGTTTCGTCTGAGGTCCTCTCAGCTATTTTCTGTCGTATTCTCTCTTCCTCCAGATCTGCCTGAGAACCAAGGAAAACTGTGAGAAAAAGGAGGGGTACCATGTAACATATCTCACAGATTTCTCTTAAATATTCATGCTGTCCAAGATACTTTCCCAGGCTAAGCCCCACCAATTTTTATGTCTAAGGCTTATGGTTAAGAGAAAACCTAATCAAGATGGCATTTGCCCTTTGTAATAAATGTGTAAGCTGAATCAGCATTTAAGATGCTGTGTGTGCATGTGTGTGCACCCATGTGCACATGCAGATGTGCAGTATTTCTTTAAATGGGATATATTATTATTATTATTATTATTATTTTAATTTTGATTATTAATTTGTCATTTATTTATCTAAAGTTCTGAGGATTGGACCCAGGGCCTTGTGTATGCCAGGCCAGCACTCTACCATCAACCTACATCTTAGTCCTTAAAAAAAGTTATTATTTTTGAGACGTCTTACTAAGTTGCCAGTAAAGCCTCAAATTTTAGCTCTTCTGTCTGCACCTTTCAAGTAGCTAGGATTATGGGTACGTCCTGCTATGTTGGTTTGTTTTTAATCCAGCCTGGGAGTCTCCACTTCTAACAGGAGAATTTGACCTGTTAATATTTAGTGTAATGAATAGTATATACAGCCAATCCTACCCACCTTCCTTAAGCTTTAGATTCCTACTCTCAACCTTTTCCTGATAGGTTGGAGCAACATCTATTCATTTGTCTTTCTCTATTAAATGTGGAAGTTTTTCTGTTATATTTCAACTTCTCTCTATTCTATTACAACAGCATTCCCTTAATGGTTCTAGTGTAAACAACATTTATGACACTATGGCCAGGCAGGACATTAATAAGACAGGAGGGGATGGAGATAAGACACCATTTTCCTGTGTGTCCTACCTCCTTTCCCAGTCCCAAGTTATCAGCACACATGCTTAGATTAAAGGTGATCAATCTGTTTGCTATGAAGAGCTCCTAAAACCATCAAAGAGGAAGCTTGCTGAGGCAGAATGGGCCCCGAGATCCCATGTAAGCTGCAAACCACCTCCCCAGAGCCAGCCTGGCAGTGAGGTCCTTCCCCAGGGTGACCCAGCAGCACTCACTCGGAGCTCATACCGCAAGCTGCTGTGCTTCAGCTCGGCCATGCTGCGGTTGGTGATGCAAAAGTCCCAGCCAGCGAAGATCTTGTTACAGTAACTCTGGAAGTGCTCCTCACTTCGGATCAGGCTGATTTTGAACCCTTCCACCGACCTGACCCCAAAACACAAGTGTCATTCAAGAACAACAGCAAAATATAGGCCCATGAATTGGTCTCATTTAAGATACAGAGTTGAACGTGGCAACCTTGCTGGCCTCTTGTGACACAGCCAAGTTTATTCTAAAGCTATGTGTCAGCTGAACAGGTATCTGATAAAAATCATTGTATCCAGTAACTTCTTTTTTAAAGATAGACACACTTTATGTGTATGGGTGTTTTGCCTGCATGTATGGCTTGTGTACCATGTGTGCACCTGTTACCTGCTGAGGCCAGAAGAGGGCATCACATCACCTAGAACTGGAGATATATAGTTGTGAGTCACCATGTGGGTGCTGGGAATCAAACCAACCCTAGTCTCCTGGAAGAGCAGACAGTGTATATAATCACTGAGCCAACTCTTCAGGCCTCCACTCAGTAACTTTACACAAAATTGTTTTATTTTTATTTATTTATTTATTTATTTATTTTATTTATCTTAATGTATTTACTTGTTGCAATGCTGAAAATTGAACCCAAAGCCTCTCCCAGGCCAGATCAATCTCTAAGCTAGACTCCTGGCTCCCCTCCCCTTATAATACTTTTATTTTGAAACTTTCATTGAGGTGCCCAGGCTGCCCTCAAACATGAGATTGTCCTGCCTCTACCTCTGAAGTAGTTTTGATAACAGGGATGCACTAGCATGCATGATGCATGGCCCAAAGTTTTTAGTTCAGTAGTCTCGTGTGGTGGTCACAAATACAGCTTCTACTGTGTTCCAGCTAGTGTGTGGTGAGACAATTGTTGACAGTATTTAGAATCTCTCTCCTTTCTTGAGAGTTGCTCTCCAATCAAATCACTAGAGAAAGGCCTTGCTGTCTTATGGCCTGTCAGACAGACTTTTCACACTGTAGCAAATACCTGAGATTGACAGCTTAAAGCCAGAAAGGGTTATTTGCTTCACTGTTCCAGAAACTTCTATCCATGGTTGGCTGGATCCATTGCTGGGCCTGAGGTGATGGGGAGGGCATTATAGCAGCTGGGCATGGTGGAAGAAGCAGAGGGGGGAGGAAGGTACCTCATGGTGTCCAGGTAGCAGAGGGGGAAGAGGGAGGTACCTCATGGTATCTAGGAAGCAGAGAAATGGAGGGGAAAGGAATGCTGACAAGGCATGTCACCTGCTTCCTCCAACCAGGCCCGGCTCCTAATAGCCCATTCAGCTGTGAACACATCAGTGGATTACCCCATTTATGAGGTTAGCACCCTCATGGTGCATCCACCTCTAAATAGCCCACCATCTGGGGATCAAACCTTCAACACTAAATTTTTAGAGGGAATTTCACATCCAATCTACATGTCCCTAACCAGGGAATGGAAACACACCATTAGGGGCTCAACACAGCCTCCTGGCCCTGACACAACAGAAGGGTCAGGATTGGGTATCTGAGTAGAAAGAGCAAACAACACCTTCACAGCATTTTGTGCCCACAATCAAGGGAGCTACAGGCTAATAGAAACTGATGTACTATTTCCCACCACTTCAAGGAGCTGCCACCACACAGACACTCAGAGATGACTAGGCTCTTGCTTTTGACATCATTCCTTAGCCATGGCTGTGTCCTTCTCAGAACAGTCTTTTCCCTTCCTTGGTTCTCTGTGTACTCAACTCCCCAGTGGTCCAATAGAGACCCAGTTAACAGAATCCTCCCCAGCCAGAATGAAGCCTATGAGGAAGAGGGACCTGGAAGAAGCACTTAGACCGCTACTCCAGCTCCTGACTTCTGTTTCCTCCAAGTCTTAGCTGTAGCACACTCAATCCCTTTCTCTGAAGACCACCTGTGGGCTCTGCTCATCTTTCAGGCCCTGACTTCCAGAATACACGAAACAGTAAGAGATTCCACCTGTTGAGAATTGGAGATGCCCTACAGACGTATGGGAGTGGAAAAATGTAGGGAACAGGCTCACAGAGGTAGGTCACAGAGCTAGACTCCTGGTTCCAGAGTGTTCTCTGCTTTCTGATCCACCACCATATGAACAAGCTGCTGTGTCATGCTCGCACTGCCATGCCTTCCCCACTGTGAGGGACTGAAATTCCCTGCAACCATGAGCCCAGATAAATCTTTCCTCCCTTGAACTGTTTCTGCCAGGTATCTGGTCACAGCAGAAAGAACGTCGCTGACACAAATGGCAATCAAAGGGAAGGAGAAAGCAAGGCACACTTACTTACCTTTTCACTATCCAAAGGAGACTCAGGGCCAGGTAGGCAATGGTGCTTACTAAGTAAGCCAGGGGCAGATCATATGTGAAGCTCTGGAATTTTACTCCATCAATGGTGTAATGTCCATAAAAAAGGCTGGTCTCCTCCAAGAAACCCTGAACAAAGCGAGAACATGGGGTCAGGTGGGTCAGCTCAGGCAGGAAGTGAAGTGAAGTGAAGTGAAGGAAGCATCCCTGACTCGAATGCCCCTGTTCATCCCGGAATCTCTCCACACCAGAGAAAAACCCATTGTGTAAGGGATGCTCAGTAAGTGTTATGGGGATAAGGTACTGCTAAAACCTAAGTACCAAAATCCACTGGTAAGTGCTAGAAAGATGGCTCAGCATTGCATGTATTGTGCTTGCAGAGGGCCCAAGTTTGGTTTCCAGCACCCACAGCAGGGGACTCACAACCTTCTGTAACTCCAGTTTCAGGAGACCTGATGCCCCCCTTCTGGCCTCCAAGGGTACTGCCTCATGTGCACATACTCCCACAAGACACATCCATACACAAAGAAAAAAATTAAATACTTTTTAAAAAATTAACTGGCAATTACACTTAACTGACGAGAGAAAAAATTCTGGGCCATTAAGTGAAAGGTTCAGGCTTTAATGCTGATCAGTTCTACCTCTTTAAGAGACAGACCCCACCACCTGACAACAGTCAGGGCACACACAGGAACGAGCCATCACCACTTCACCCACCACACATGCGTGAGGACTCTGGGCATGCGTGAAACCTCAGTGCACATACACAGTCTTTCCTTTAAAAGTTCTAACTTCCCTGCTTCTCTCTCTCTCTCTGCTTCTGCTTCACTCTCTCTTCTCCCATCTATGTGCTTTCTCTGCCTCTCTAGGTGACCAGCCATGGCAGACAGCCATTACCCCTGTTCCTCTTCTCTCTTACTCTCCCTACTCTATAGGGCCCTATAATAAACTGGTTAATATGTCTCATCTTGCACCTGCTTCCTCTTTTTCTTTATATCTAATTTAAACAAAAACATAACAATAAGTATCAAAAAGAACACTTAAGAATAAGTTTAACTCGAGTATAAATAGTATATTCTGAAAACTATGAACCACAGTTAAAATAAAAGTGGGCCAGGGATGTAGCTCGGTGGGTAGAATACTGACCTAGTATGCACAAGGTTATGGATTTGATCCCAGCTTAAAACAGGTATGGGGACAGACACATATATCTGGGTGGTAATGGTCACACCTATAGTTCATGTGCTTGGAAGGCAGAAACAGGTGAATCTCTTTCTGAGTTCAAAGCCAGCCTGGTCTACAGAACATGTTCCAGGACAGTCAGAGCTTTTACACAGAGAAACCTCATCTTGGAAAACAAAAATAAATAAATAAATGGAAAGGTATCCATTTGTTTTGGATTGTGTTCTTGGTGCAGCATTTCCACATCAATAATCTACAAATGGGTCTACAGAACCAGCACAAACCCAATCAGAACCCAGCTGGCTTCACTCAGAAACCAACAAGCTGGTCTTAAAGTTTAGATGCAACTGCAAGGGAGTCAGTGCCTAAACAACCTTGACAAAAAGTAAAGTTGGAAGATCACTGTCTTGCCTCCAGGATTTACCACAAAGCAAAATCAAGAGTGTTAAGTGCAGGCACAAAAACGGGCACAGAAGCCGCCTTTAATCCCAGCAGCTGGGAAGCAGAGGCAGGATCTCTGTGAATTCAGGGTCTACACAAAACAAAGCAAACCAGCCGGGCGTTAGTGGTGCTCACCTTTAATCCCAGCACTTGGGAGGCAGAGGCAGGCGGATCTCTGTGAGTTCAAGGCCAGCCTGGTCTACAGAGCAAGTTCCAGGACAACTTTCAAAACAATACAGAGAAACCCTGTCTCGAAAAACCAAAAAAACAAAACAAACAAAAAAACAAAAACCAAACCAAACAGACAAAAAAAAAAAAAAAAAAGCAAACCAACAAACACCACAACAAAATCAGACACACAGCAAAAAAAAAGAACCAACCACCCATACATCTCCAGCCAACGAGTTTTTATAGGGGAAAACATGTCCTCTGAACACAGGATTCACATGCAACATCAGCTTATAATGGATTAAGCATCTAAGCATTAGAGGCAAATATACAAAAATGCCAACAAGTTTAAGGTTAGCCTAAGTTGAATAGCAAGACTGTTTAAAAATAAATAGATAATAAAGTCCTATTTTTTTTTCATGACAACCATGTATTGTCACACTACCTGAATAAGAAAATGTTTAAATAGAAGCAAAGGTAGAAAGAGGAGACTCCATAGTATCTCCCACTCTATCAAAGGCTGGACACACACATCATAAAACCCTGTCCAGCTCTCCAGATCCCTTTCCACATGGCCACAGGTCGATCTCAGTTCTCACCAACTTTTCCCTCACAATAAAGGGACACCAAAGCCCAGGGAGCCACAGAGACCAGACAATAAGCCCCCTGACCTTGGACCTCCCCCCAAAAAAAAGGGACCACCAACTCTTGGGGCCCCGCCACAAGGCCTTCTGGACAGGGCCGCTGGAGAATGCTATCGGTGTCGCACATCTATGATCATGTGTCACTAATTATCCTTTAAAATACACTAACAAATGTTGCTTGTGGGATGCAACATAATGAAATGGGGCTATTTGGTGAGTTCCTGTCCTGGAAAGCCAAAGAGGAGGAGGAAGGGAGAGGACAGTAGATGTGAGGCTTGGTTCTGGGAACTTTTTTTTTTTTTTTAATGAGACCTGGTGGTGTCTCCATGTATCCCTGACTGTAGACCAGGTTGGCCTGGAACTCAGAGAGATCCACCTGCCTCTGCCTCCCTGTGCTAGGAACAAAGGTGAACTCCACCATAATAAGCCAAGTTTGATCCAGTAACAGTGACTTCAGGTAAGATACTGAGTTGTTATCATTTGCACAGCTTCCATTTTCTCATTTATATACCTGGCATTTGACTGTGTACCCAACAATACCCTGAGTTGTTTGTAGAAAACATAACTTTGGGGATGTAAAGGCACTCCCCTACACACACACACAACATATTAAATGCAATGGGCAAACCCCAGGCTTTTTACCTACCTATTCAGAAAAGCAACAAGTTCTGTGATGTGGCATTTTAATACTAGCAACTTCCAGAAAAATAGCTTAATCTGTAGGCTGAGTGTCTTCTGTCTGAAATGCTTGGGACCTGAAGGGCCTGACATTTCAGAACTTCTCAGAATTTGGAATAATACCATAGACTTCACCAGTTGGGTGTCATCAGACAATCCCAAACGCCTCCCAAGAGTTTGGGTTTTCAGATCAGAGATGCTAGCTGCACAGCATTATAATTCAGGCCAATACAAAGGTGGCAGAGAGCAGGAAAAGGCCAATGGCTGGAAGCAGCAGAGTATTTCCTGAATACTCTAGTGGAAGGTGAGCAGCAGAGCACAGGACTTACTGATGAGTTCACTGCAAACCCTGTCTCTGCTGCTCACTGCCAGCACTGGCATTTGGCCTTCACTGGTCTTTGAAAAAACAACATTGTCTTTTGGATTTTGTTGTTGTTTTAAGGCAAGGTCTCACTAGGTAGCTTAGGCTGGTCTGGCAATCCTCCTGCCTTCACCTGTCAGATCACAGGCACACACCACAGAGCCCCATTCAGGACATTGAAGTCTAAATTACTTGATGTCAGTGTAAGGAGGGTCACAAAGGATTGAGTTAAATACTTACTGTGCCAGACAGCAAGTCTATGATGTAACTGTAAAAGTAAATGAGCCCAGAGCTACTTATTGGATAGACAGTGCACTGAATATCTGCAGGAAACAAAAACAAGGATATGTGTCAGAAACAGCCTCATTTTGTCAGTAACTTGTCTATTGCAGCTGAACATAAGCTGTGGCTACATATTCAGATACATCTGTTGTTCTATCTTCAAGTCCCAGTATGTCTGGTACATCCCTTTGCCTCTAATTTCTGTTTTTAGGGTTTCTTTTATTGTTCCTTTACTTTCCTTTAGCATGCGCCTTTACTAAATAATTTGGGGATATATCTATTTTGTTTTGTTTAGTAGGTTTTTCATAGCTTAAAATGAAATGCTTTTATTTGTTTGTTGATTATGTGTGTATGTGCAACATGCTCATGCAGGTGCCCACAGAGGGCAGGAGAAGGCATCAGATCCCATGGAATGGAAGTCCCAGGTGGTTGTGGCTGCTATGCTGTGGGTGCTAAGACCAGAAACATGGATCCTCTGCAAAAGCAGGGTGTGCTCTTAACTGCTGAGCCTTCTCTCCAGCCCCTTGTTTCACTGTGTGGAGACAAGGTTTCACTATGTAGTTTAGACTATCACTCAGCATCTTCATACCTCAGCATTGTAAGCAGCAGGATTAGAAGATATGCACCACACAGAGCAGTTAATGATTAATAATACTGTACTTTTAATATGCATTTTATTTTCAATTGTGTGTACGGGAGGGTATGTGCATGCAAGTGCCCACAGAGGACAGACGGGGGCATCACCTCCCCCATATCTGGAGTTAACAGACCACTACAGAGCTGAAAAGCAGACCTACGCCATCTCTGCAGCCCTGACATTTGTTGTTCCTTAAATAATCTAAGTATTCAATAATGAAGTATTGTTTAAGGGAGGGAATAATCATCTTTCTTTAAATGATCACCCCGGCTCAACACAGAAACTGAGGCTCACAAGGTTAACTGACTGACTGACACAGCTGCCCTGGAAACCTAATGTTGATTTTCACACGGCAGCAGGAAAGAATGTCTCTTTAAAAAGAGGATACACAAGAAAATAGGAGGGCACACAAGGCAAAAAGTGGCCCTCAAAGTAAGTCTGAAGTGCTGGCTTATTTGAATTTTAAGTGAATTAAAATGGGAACAAAGATGAGGAGGAATGCATAGGGCCTCAGAAGTGCCCATCCAGGGCTCTTCTGGGTAAGGAGTTATGTCATAGGAGAACATGAGGGTTTGTAAGACCTCAGAAGACCTGAGACCAAGCTGGCTCCTCCATAGAGCCTGGGATCAGAGGCTTGCAGTGAGTATCTGTGAAATAGAGGAATCCCTATTTTACAGGATCCCCAGAAGATCTGATTTTTATTGAAAATACAAAAGCCCAATCTAGCTCTTACCAGAGTGTCCAGCACAAGATCACTGTGAATTGCTATTAGCTTCAAGTGCATTTTTTTTTTAAGTTGGTTTGTTTGTTTTTCAAGACAGGGTTTCTCTGTGTAGCTTTGGAGCCTCTCCTGGAATTCGCTCTGTAGACCAGGCTGGCCTCGAACTCACAGAGACCCACCTGCCTCTGCCTCTGCGTCCTGAGCGCTGGGATTAAAATCGTGCACCACCACCTCCAGGCCTTAAACTGCATTCTTATCATAGATAGCAATCTTGAAATGAAGCCACCTTTGGGTGAGGGATTGATTCTTTTAGGTTTGCTAAATATCCCACCCTGCATTGCTTCTCCTACATGCTCTCATAAACTCAGGAGGGGCTGGGTGTCCTGATTTGGCCAATGAGGTGTGGAAGAAATGTGTTTGTGTGTCATCTCCGAACAGAAGCTTCAGGAATCAGCACACATTTGCCTTTCCCCTGGGATCACAGTGACAATCGGCTGCCCTAGCAATTTGGGCTCCTGAGTGAAGATTCCCAGCCCAAGATGAATCTGGACTATGAGTGAGAAGTACATGTTTACAGTCTCTGGCACTGAAGATAATGGGGTCATTTGTTCCTGCAGCATAACCTAACCCATGCCAACTGACACAGTTGCCTAAGACTCAGAATGAAGATGCCCAGGGAAGGAAGCACTGCCTCGGGGACAGACCTTGGACTCACCCATGTCTTTGAATGGAATGAACACTAAAGTGCTGTTGGTAATCTTGTACTTGGTGAGTAAGATGGGGAGCAAAACCAACATGAAGATGATCAGGAATATCACCAGGTTCAGGACCACCAGGAACCGTAGGAAAGAGAAGTAGGACTGGATCCCTGTGCCGAACTTCCCTGGAAAAGAAGCAACGTGGGTACCAGTGACCTGCTGCACACACTGTGGACTCCATCACCAAGAGAAGGTTGAGGAAAGGGGATCCCTGCTGTGGGAAAGATCCCTGTAGGAAGGGTCATAGTCCTTCAATGCATGTTTTTAAAACTTGTGTGTGGGCCGGGCGTTGGTGGCGCACACCTTTAATCCCAGCACTCGGGAGGCAGAGGCAGGTGGATCTCTGTGAGTTTGAGGCCAGCCTGGTCTCCAGAGCGAATGCCAGGATAGGCTTCAAAGTTACACAGAGAAACCCTGTCTTGAAAAAAAAACCAAAAAAACAAAAACAAAACAAAACAAAAAAAACAAAAAAAAACCTTGTATGTGGGCACTGGTATGGAGGTCAGAGGACAACTTTCAGGAGTCTGTTCTCTCCTTTCACCACATGGGTCCCAGGGATCTACTTGGTCATTGGGCTTCACCTGTGACACCTCATTCTCTGTTCTCTACTTGAAGCCCAGATTCCCTGAGTTTTCATATGTTGATCCACAGCGCTTCTGAATGTGTCCTCTAAGAGCACTGTGAGGTAAGGGGGACTTCACAGTTACCTTTTGTCACATGAATATCTGGCTGCCTCAGCACTGTTGTAGATGCCAAATATCTACATCTGTACATATGTTCTGACTCCTATCCTGTCCCTGCTCCATGCATCTATCTTTACACCAATATGAGACTTAGTTGTTGCAGATTTACACAAAGGGATGGTCTCTGGAGCTACACATCTTCACCCTTTCTTCCCCGAGTTTATCCTAGGTGCCCTTGGTACTTAGCATTTCTAATATACAATGATGAGAATCAGTGCATCCATTTTCTCTCTCTCTCTCCTTTCTTCCCCCCCCTCCCCCTCCCCCCCCCTCTCTCTCCCACACACACACACACACACACACACACACACACACACACACACACACACACGAGTCTCTGATTGAATTACATGAAATACATGGATGAATTTGAGAAGTGACATCTCATCTTTTTAATATTGAATCTCCTGAACATGATATACTTGGATCTTCTTCAGCATTTCTCAGTAAGATTTTTCTACCTGCTTCCCTTTCCCTCCCATTCTCCTCTTTCTTTTCTTTTCTTTTCTTTGAGACAGGATCTCACTATGTAGCCCTTGAACTCTCTTATATAAACCAAGCTGGCCTGGAACTCAGAGATCCACCTGGCTTTGCCTCCTGCATGCTGGGATTTAAAGGTGTGAGCTACCACACCTGGTCTTTTCTGTTTTGGGGGAGAATCCTGCTATGTAATTTAGACTGGCTTTGAACTTGCCAGGTATATCTGGCTATTCTGGAATTTATGATCCTCCTGCCTCTACCTCCCAAGTTCAGGGATTATAGGCCTATGCCATCACATCTGGCTTCCATAATATTTTTACAGTTTTCTATGCTTGAGCATTATTTATTCTCCTTAGATAAACTTCTAGGGATTTGACATTTTATGTGTGATTATAAATCATATGAAAAACTTCATTTCGTGGGGCTAGAGAGATGGCTCAGTGGCTAGGAATGTGCTCTGCTCTGTAGAAGACTTGAGTTTGGTTCTCAGCACCCACATTAGGTAGTTTACAACCACCTGTCACTGGCTCCAGGGTACCTTCCTCCTCGGGCACCTGCACCTACATGCATAAACCCCACACAGATGCACACACATAAAATTAAATGTTTAAATCTTAAAAAAAAATCCTTATTTTCTAAATGTTGCAAGTATGAAGAAATACACTCCGGGCTGGGGTTGTAGCTCAGAGGTAGAGTATTTACCTAGCATGTGCAAAGCCCTGGATTCCCCAGCAACTCCCTAAAGATGGGGGAAATACAACCATTTTATACGACTGTCAAATCAACAACTAACCTTGTTAAATTCACATATTGAATCTAATAGCTTATCTTTTTTATTTTCTATGCATATATTATCTGGACAAATGATATTTTCTTTCTTCCTTTTCTGATTCTTGTCTCTTTCTGCCTCATCCCTGAAATACAGTTAGCTAAGACTTCCAGGGTAATACTGAAGAGACAGTGATAACTAACACATTTCCTCACTCTCAATCTCAGGCTTCCAGCATGCCATTGAATGGGACACTTGCTGTAGGTTTCTCATACATTTCAAAAGGCAAAATCTTTCTCTAGTTCACACTTGCTAAGAATGAATACTGGGGCTAATGGTGTTTTCTCTTCACCTCTCAGAATGAACATACTGTTGTCATTCATGCAGTGAACTTAGGGACAAAACTCAAACAGAAGAGCAGCCTCCTAGCAGAGAACTGAGGTGTCTGCTGTTCCTTGGAAGTCAAGAACACATGGCTGACCCTAATGATGGGTCACCACCATGCTCTGTCAAACACTCGATGTCAGCAGAGGGATGGGCTTTGATTTTGCACACCTTCTGGTTCTGCCACAGGGACATCCAGTCAGCCAAGAAATCCCAGTAGAACAAATGAATAGAAAGGCAAAGATCCAGTTCCCCAGGGAGAAGAGAGTCTCTAATGCCTGCAACAGTCAGTCAGAAGTCTCCAGGAGTATTCCACCAAACCAGGGAAGCTGGACACAGCATCCCGACTACTGTTCTTGTTACTCTGGTCTTGTACCTGACAACTCAAGGAGGAAGGTATATGGGGGCTCACAGTTTGAGGGAACACAGTCTATCATGGAAGAGAAGGCATAGCAGCAGGAGTGTTGACAGGACTGATCACCTTGTGTCCACAGTCAGAAGCAGAAGAGAGACAGGAAAGGGGACTCACCCCAGTGATCCATTTCCTCCAGTTAGGTCCTACCCTGAGGTAGTGACCAAGTGTTCAAACACAGGAGTCTATGTGGGACATTTCATATTCAAAACATACTTGGCCTCAGAAGCCCGACTGCCTGTGTGCCTCACCCTAGCTGGACTGGGTGCACTTGGGCAAGCACCTTAACTTCGTTGTGGCAGGCTAATGGTGAAGTATCCACATGAAAGGGTTTTGTGAGGCTTGGTGTGGTGACACATGTTTTAATACTAGCAGTAGGAGGCAGAGGCAGGCCAGCCTAGTCTACATAGAAACAAAGGGGTGGGGAGTCTTGTGAGGACTAACAGAGGTAATAATGAGTGAGATGCCAAAGGCAACACTTGGTTCATTGTCAATGCTCAGTAAAGAGTTGCTGGTACTTTGCTTAAGACCATGCTATGCTTCCATTTCAGGAGAAAGAGCGTGAGTGTGTAGCAAAGCTCTATGAGCCTGGAAGACCGCTTAGAAATATGTTTACAGTCTCCATGTAAAACAGCGATTTACAAAGAAGAATACATTATCAGTGGTATAGTTAAAGATCTATCTTATTTTAATTATGTGTATGTGAAAGGGGGTGGGGACATAAAGATGCCTGTGGAGGCCAGAAGAGGGTGCTGGATTCCCTGAAGCTGTAGTTAGTCTGTTGCTGTCTGTCTGTTTGGGGACAGGGTTTCAAGGTGTAACCTTGGCTGACCTGAAACTCACAGAGATGCACCTGTCCCTGGCTGGATTAAGGTCCTGGCCACCACGACTGGCAATATACTTTTAGGGTAGGTAATAAGGAAGATGGTCACTTCTCCCAAACATCCTGCCATGCTCCTTACAGACTATATGAAAACATCTATATCAGCAACTGAAGACAATAATCATAAATCATTTTGTTTTATGATAGAAAATACAGAATGGTAAGATGCATCTCCCTGCCCCAGTTCTGCTGGGCCTCTGTAGATGACAAAGGCATTGGCTCTACTAAGGCTAAGTGTGGGTCAAGTTCATACTTGAGATGGTCAGTCTTGACTGTCAGCTTGCCCGGATCTTGGCTCGCTGAGGAGACACCTCTAGGCATGTCTGTCTGGGAACAGAGAGGGTCGAGAGCACCAGCGTTCATCGCTTCTGTGTCCTGACTACAGACGCCACAGGACCAGCTCCTCAAGCTCCTGACCACATGTCCTGCCCTACCATGGCAGACTATATTCTGAAACTGTGACCCAGAATAAATCCTTGCTTCCTTAGTTTGCTTCTGTTGGGAATTTTGTTAGTCATTAACACAACATTCATCCTGAAAGGAAATCCTCAACATCACTTCAGCTAGGTGCAAACCCAACTTGCTTGCAGGGGAGCTTAGACTTGGCCTGCAGAGAAGCCAGTAGCAAAGGAACTCTACCTTCAATGCTGCGGATGTCCTTGCGCCACAGCTCCAGGTGGGTTGTCATCTCACGAGCTTTCTCTAGGAACCTCTTCCAGGACTTGCTGCTATACCGTTTCCACTGGTCCCACTCTGATAAATACTTCATCTGGGTTTCCTGAATGTCCCTGCATCAAAAAATGGCCATGAGCATGACAAAGACAAAGAGGTATCAAGTCTAAGCTCCAAGACTCCCTGGATGGGAGCCCTTGATCACAACTTTGGAATATTAGCCATAAAAAGGGATGAAGTACTAACACGTGCTCCAGTGTGAATGAACCTTGAAAGTGTTATACAAGGTGGAAGAAAAAAGAGCCAGACGTGGAGGTCACATTCCATGCACACATAAACCTAGAGACAGCAGGTCCCTGTCTGCCTGGGCTCAAGGAGGAGGAATCCAGAGTGCTTTTTTAATGGGTACAGAGTTTTCAGCTGCAGTGATAAAGCATTTTTGGAAGTAGCTGGTGGTGATGCATGCACAGCATTGCCAATAGGCTCAGTGCCACTGGACTATAAGCTGTCAATCACAATGGGTACTGTGTACTCAGTACACTGACCCTATGGTGCCATTCCCGACCTCTTGTCCCATCATGTCAACTGACCAAATTCTTCTATTTCACCTCCAGAATACCCCTTCTTTTGATAACACATCCTCTCCAATTAATGTCTGTTTCAGTATGCTACAAGTGGTGGTTTTGTTTATTTTTGAGACAGAGTCTCACAATGTAGCTCTGACTGGCCTGGAACTTGCAAGGCTTATTTTTGAGACAGAGTCTCACAATGTAGCTCTGACTGGCCTGGAACTTGCTATGTTGACCAGGCTTGCCTTGAACCAGAGATTTATCCACCTACCTCTGCCTCCCAAATGCTGGGATTTAAGTTGTGTGCCACCATACTCAGCCTGATTCTACAAGCTCGTTAAAGGTTGAGAATGTATAATATTTGTTGCTGTGGTCCTCTGTCCCAGGGACACAGAGTGCTGATTCCATGACAGTCCTGGCCTGACCTGTTTGCTTTGCTCTCCATTCTGTCCAAAGGACAGTAGCTGGTGTTTAATCCATTCTTAATAAATGCCCACCACTAACTAAAGAACAACATTCAAAAAATACGTACATTTAATATGTACTGTTGTATTCATGAAAGGTGAACTGCTTTCCCATAGCACAGAGTATGCTTAGATACTATAAATGGATACCTATAAATAAGGTATTGATAAATGGATAGATAGGATAGACAAGTAGATAAATGGATATGGTTACAGATAATGATGGATGCATACAAATACAGACACAGAAGGATGGATGATGGATGGATATAGATAAATGGAGAGATGGATACAGATTAGTGGATGAACAGATGATGATGGATAGCCGAGAGAGTAATGATGGGTGGAGAGATGGATGCACACGGCGCACATGCTTGTAACCCTAACTTTTAGGAGGCTGGGACAGGTGAGTTCAAGATTAGCCTAGGTTACACAGAGATATCTTGACACACAAAAAAAGGGGAGAAGAGGCCTGGGGTGATGGCTCAGTGGGTAAAGTGCATGATGTGTAAGCCTGAGGACCTGGTTAGGGTCTCTAGGATCTGCCTGTAACCCAAGAACTAGGGAGATGGAGACAGGTGAGTCTTTGGGACTTGCTGAACAGCTAGAATAGCCAACTGCTGAACTCCAGGTTCAGTGAGAGAGTCTGTCCCCCCCACCAAAAAAAAATTAAGGTGGAATGACAGAGGATGACACCAAACGTCAACTTCTGGCCCCTACATGGGTGCATGTACACATATACATATACATATACATATACATATACATATACATATACATATACATATACATATACATATACATATACATATACATATACAAGAGAGAGGGAGAAAAGTCTGGCTACAACATTCCCCACTGAACTAAACCTGGACTGTTAATTCAAACAGGAGGTGAACAACTTCTTGAAGGTCACATGTCACTGAAGCTTAGGAATGCTCACTACAGAATGAACTCTCAGTTCCTAACACGACAAACATACCACACACACCACATACACCCCTCTCCCAGCCTATAGCATGGCCACTTCCAGGCAGCTATTGAACAAACCTCAGTCTCCGCTTCTCAGAGATGTTCAGCGCGTACTTGCGGATGGATTGGCTGTTGAGGTTTTCTGTGATTCCTCCATCCAGCTGGGAACTGTAAGAGTCCGTTGGCTTTAGCAGGGTACCACTCTGCTTGTCCCGGGAGAGGATGTTTGTCCGCCTGCGTGCCACTGACCGATAGCTTGGCAGCTCTTGAAGGAAGTTCACAGGTGGAGAGAAGCTGCTAGAACCTAGAGACATGTTCTCTGGATGAGAGAAGAAAAGCAAAATTCATTACAGACAGCTTGGGAGCCTTCATTTCTCAGAGACCACGAGCAAGCCTTGGAGACAGTTGCTTGCACAGCCAATGACAAAGTATTTGGATTTCTTTTCTCTTTTACTGTGCTGGGAATTTAATCCAGAACCTTACACATGCTAGGCAAGTGCTCTACCACTGAGCTATCTAATCAGCCCTTTATTTATTTAGAAAAGATTTTGATAAGTTTCCCAGGCTGGCCTCGAATTTAGAATCCTCCTGCCTTGGTTTCCTATATAGTGGGAATTGCAAACCTGTGTCAACACAAATTACCAATCTGTAATTTGTTCTTCTTTGTTTTGTTTGCATGTGTATGAATGCTCTCCTGTGTGTGGGTGCATGTGTGTATACAGGTACACGTGTATGTAAGTGTTAGTGATGACAATGCTGGGTGTCTCCCTCCATCACTTTCTACCTTATATATTGAGACAGGATTTCTCACTTGAACCCGAGCTCACTCATCCAGATAGTATAGTTGGCCAGCTTGCTCCAAGAGATGGGATATCTCTGCCTCTTGAGCACTGGAGTTGTCCACCAGCATTTAAGTGGGTTCTGGGTATCCAAACTCTGGTCCTCACATTTAGGGAGCAAGTGCCTCATCCTCTAAGTCATCTCCCCAGCCCTAGATGTTCAGGATGATGCAAAGGACAGTGAAATCATCTTCACATGGGCACAAGCTATAGATGTGTCTGCATGAAACTTAGGTGGTAAGATACCTAAAGCCATGAGCTAAATGCATGGTCCAATTTTCTGAATGGAGTTAGCAATGCGTGTTCTATCTCCAATAAGTGGGGGAGATGATAATGTGTAAGAGCCATGATTGCCTTAGCAATTGCCTCCATGGACATCCCAACTTCTATTCTTCCTGTGTAGTGTGATAGATAAAAGACCCAGAGACTAATATTAGGGTTCAAACTTCAAGATGAAGATCAGAAAAGCAAAGCAGCCAGCCACTAGCTCTTACTCTACCTCAGACTGAAAGACAATCCTGGCTCCACCAAACCTCAGACTGTAACCTCTCCTCAGTGTGGCCAGAGAATCCTGAGACATCAATGTCTTCCTATCCTCAATGTGGCTGGAGAATGAATTGCCTGCTCTGAGACCCTGTTCCTGTTGTATATACCTCCCTAATGCTGGGATTAAGGGCATATGATCTCAGGTGTTCAGATCAAAGGTATGAACTCTGTTACTCTTCATTCTTTTGTAGGCCATGGTGGCCATCTACCTCTTAATCCTGAGTCCTGGGATTAAAGTTGATTTTGCTTTCTGAATGCTCAGGTAAGCTTTAATAAATCATAAGTAATATATCACCACATTCCTGTTGGGTGCTAAATGGCTTAAGTTCAAATCCTGACCAGGCCCCTTTTTTGCTCTGAGTTTGGGATGAGTTAGTTAACTTCTCAGTACTTCAGTTTCCTCATCCCCAATAGTCATTCAACAAATAGGCCTACCATGTGTCCTTTATGGAGCCAGGGAAGTCATAGTAACCAAGGAAAACGTCCTAACTCTTACACATCTTATATTCTGAGGTGGTGAGAGGAGGACCAGACAATAAGCTTGTGATAAACTTAGGCCAAGAAGTCATAAGTACAATGAAAGCAAACCACAAAAGCACAGTGGGGTGATGCTGAAGGGTAAGGGCAGAGGTGATACTGGGGCAAGGTGCTGTTTTTGGTTAAGTTCTTTTTGTTTTGGTCAGTTCTTTCCCTAGATGAAGCTCAGTGAAAAGAGGGCACAGACTTGAGGCTATGTGGGGAAGATCAGATAGTAAGGGCAAACAGCCTGGGGCAGCAGTGCCCATGGCACATCTGTAGAAAGGTGTGCAGAACCCTGACTGCAGAAGAATTAACTGCAGAAGGAGCCCCGAAGTCCGTTTGGTTGGTGGATGGTGGGGTTATCCCAGCCCTCCTATACCCCCTGCCCCTAAGCCCAAGTTGTGACTTGTTTTAGCCAAAGGGCACAAAAGGAAAAGAAAAAACACTCTGCCAGTCCCAAGTCATAAAAGAGCCCAGAAGCCACTTCTGGGCATTTGGGTACCAGACATACAAGAAACCAGCCAGGGCCAGCAAGATGGCTTGGAGGGTAAAGGCACTTGCCACTGACGCTGAGATCTAAGTTCGATTTCCAGAACCTGCATGCTGGGGGAGAAGAATCAACACCTGCAAGCTGTCCTCTGACCTATAACATGAACCACAGCACGCAAACACACACATTCATGCACACACATAAATGAACAAATGTAATTTAAAAGAAGCCCAGTCAGTAGAACCCATTGAAAAGAACAAAGCCCCTTGCCTTTGTCCCCAGCCACAGAGAACATCCATATGGGCATTGTATGTTGGGTGTGGAAAAGAGAAAAGTAAGCGGCCCGAATGAGTAGGCTAGAGCCAATGAGATCTTACAAGCTGATATGGCCTGCAGATGACACCTAGAAAGGAGCCACTGAAGACTCGGGACTTTAACAGGTCACCCTGAGCATGCTGCTGGAACCCATACTCTGAGCCTAACTCTCTGGAGACTAAGAGAGTTCTGATTTTGAAACTACCCAAGGCTACGTAGTGAGACCCTAAGGACAAGCCTGGGTACAGTGGGTATGGTCACAGCATTACAGGTGCTCACAAGGGTGCAAGTTGTCAGTGAGGTGGCAGACACACAGTGTCCCCCACCGTAGATGTACTTGGAAGTGTGAGAGGGTTCAGGAAGGACAAGGGACCAGCATTCCAGGTCTCTCTGGAATGTGCAGATTCTCTAACCTCTACCCTCCCCTGACAGGCACGTTCTGACATGAGACAGCAGTTATGTTACTGTAGATGACGCAGAGACATGTGCCTGGGCTCTGCCAACCTCATGAGCAAGCTGTGCCACATTCACCCTGACACACCCTGAGGATGTGAGCCACTCTCAAGTCAGACAGGGTTGCCTCCAGCAATTAGGTTCAACATAGAAGCGAGTAGGGCACGGGTGCTGCCTTGGGGCCACTCCTCCCCCTAGGCAGCAACAAAGAACTGTTATTAACCAAAAACAAAGGTCTTTGAATATGGAGCCTGTTGCATATTCAACAACAGTGGGGTCAGGGACCAGGGCAGGATGGGGACTGCAGCCAGGCTTGGCTTCAGATGCTGCACTGTTACCCACCAGCCAGGCCATCCCAGGAAGACATTAATTCTATTCATCTCAAGAACAGGGCCTCTAACATCACAAGTCACGGACACCTGTCACACTGTGAGCTGCCATGAACACTCACTTTGGGCATGGCTGTTATAAGTACTAGAAGCTAGGCCTAGCATTGTATACATGTAAGGCTGGCAGTCAGGAGGCTGAGGCAGGAGGATTGCTGCAAATGTGAGGGCCAGCCTGGATTACACATGATCTTGATTGGATTTGATCCCCAAAACTCATACTTCTTCAGCCTCTACATCTCCTAAGTGCCCACTCTATGAGTCATCCCCATCCTTCATCTATGCCATTTAATGTACATTGTCTCTATCCTCTCTCAAGGACCACCACCTCTCCACCACCTCTGAATCCTCAGGGTCTCTGCACAGGGCTTGGCACATAGCAGTGCCCGATAGATGCTTGATGAATGAATGAATGAATGAATGAATGAATGAGGAATGGGTGACTCTGCTGCCGAGGACACAGTATTCAATTACCGACCTAGCTTTTGACCAAAGTTAGTGGTTAACATACCAGAAAGCAGGGTGCAAAAATCAAGGGGGAAAAAAAGAAGCATTTTCTTTATCATTCTTTTCTATATGGATAATACATTTTTACAATTGAAAATAAATTTTTTTCAGAGTATTTATGTATCCCAAGCTAACCTGGAACTCTGTAGCCCAGGTCGGTTTCAAACTCAAAGATCCTTTAGCCTCAGCCTATCCAGGCCTCAGGTTACAGGTGTGAGACATCATTCCCAGCTCTGCATTGAAACCTTTGAAAGGAGTGGGGGGAAGCTGGCAGGAAACACTGACTCCACTGACTCTACTTGATGTCCTTGTTTCAGGTTCTTTCTTTCCATAGTCTTGTTTATGGAAATGCACTTTGGTCTGTTAGGAACACAAGTCATTGTTCTTAAACAATCTGTGATTAACACAATCAGGGAGACACTGATTACAGAGTCTGGTTACACTGGTTCCTGAACGCTTGTCCATTCCCTATGGTTTGACGTCACTGTAATTCTGGAAGCTAACTGGAGGTAAAAAAAAAAAAAAAAAAAAAGCCTGAAAAAACACATACTAACAGATTCCAACAGCTTTTACCTATAAGTTTCTAGAATTCAGAGATTTAAAAAGCTACCACTTCTTAAGAAACTTAAAAGAGACTTTAAAGAAACCATCAAACACTTTAAAAATATCCAAAGGAGCCATGGAGATGTCTCAGCACGTACAGCACTTGCCACTGGGTCTGGTGAACTCAGTTCATCCCTAGGACCTACTTGGTAGAAGGAGAGAAGCAATGTGACGTGACACATGGGCACATAGGCCACGCACAAATTCAGTAATTAAAGAAAAACAAAACTTCCTAAGCTCTGCCACTCCCACAAAGATCACCATCCTCCCACCCATGCACCCACCCACTCCCTCGTCTACTCAGCCACTTGAGCACATTTGATGAGAAACTACCACAGGCCAAACAGCTCTTTAAGACTAAGATACACCTGAATACAACATACCATACCCCTGTCTTTTACATATGTCAGGTGGTGGTAATATGAGAAAAGTTGGGGGTGGGGACGTCTTAGGGGATGGGGTATAATTTCAAACACTGTGATCAAGGACAGCACTCCCAGGAAGCTGACATTTGAGGAAGGCTGGGAAAATGGGGAGACACAGCTATGCAGGCATCCTGGGAAAGGCTATCAAAGAAGAAAACAGCAAGTGCAAAGGCAGTTGCAGGTGGAGCTAAGATGACTTGAAAAACAGTATGGTTAGTCAACAGGGAGGTCATGGGG